AACGTCAACATTGCAGGTTGAAGCCAATATTTCAAAATCGGCTCTGTAGCCCAGTTGCTATAAAAGAGACCATCCATGAGTAACTTGTATATCGGTTGAATTGGATGACAGAAATAATAAATCTTTATAAAGTATATTTAAAAAAATGTAACTTCTACATGGGTTCTCTTAGATAACTTATGTAAAAAGTAGCAACATAAACCAAACATAACCGATGCAAAGAGAGTCCATGAGGAAAATGTAGAAAGTGGTTGCCTAATAACATCCGTTTTGCCACACAACTGATGCAAATTTAGTTCATGCGCAAATGTAAAAGGTGGTCACCTAATGACATTGGTTTTATCACATAACCAATGCAAATGTAAAGGCCTATTAAGCCCCTGCTTCTGTGTTGTACACCATCAAAATGTGTCTTCGCAGATGAAGGGTAAAAGTGCAACTAAAATAAAACATATCGCTGTTAAATGTAAGCCTAAGGAGAGGATTCTGATACAGTTCCACGTTTCCCTAAACGGGAAACTAATTGGGACCTAATACGACCTAATTCAAGAGTTATGTTGCAACGTGAAAGATTAAAAGAACAAGATGACCAACAAGAAGAAGAGGTAGAAAACACGAAGAACGAACGGAAACATGAAATTACCAATGTATCATTTCATAAATCTAACTTGAATAATCGGTATCCTATAATTTATTCTTAACCATTCGATTAAAATTAACAGTTCATAATACATGATAACTTTTGCAAAAATTTTCTTTCCCTTACTTTTTACATAAGAAGGGAGGATATTAAAACCCACCATGTTGATCTATATATTTTTGTTTGATTATTTAGAAAAAGCTCTTTCATTCAAGTTATCTTTAAGGAAAGAATGAATCTACCATTGAAAAAGGAAATAAAACTGTTAAAATCATGAAAGTAAATTACTACCGAGGTACTTGTTGGTCAATAGTATCATTGTCCTTTTTTCTTTCAAGGGCAAAATGGTAGAACAAAAGTAATGAGAAACCACATACAGAGTTAAAAGCTGAAGCTACCTCATCATGTACATCATTTACTCATATATATCATGATAAGAAATAGACTAAGAAGTTAATAAATGAGCTGTTTTATTTGCATCTCTGCTTGCATGGTCAAATCTAGGATTCCTAACACTTTTGAAGGAGTTGACCACAGTAAGAGAATTTGATTCAGTCCTCCCTAACCTGTATTCTGGATTTTTGTTTAATTTGCCAATTACAATGATGGATTTTCTTTACAAACATAAACCTGACATATTTACGCCCATTGCAGTCCTCTCTGGGCCTTCGATCTTGTTAGGGATAGCGACACTGAAAACTCTTAAGGATATGGTTTCTGCATCTATCAGGTGAAGAGAGTTGTAATGCAGAATCCGTAGATTTTCACGTTTTTTTTTTTTTTTTTGCATATGGTAATTGCCTAACAAAGTACTAAATGTTAAGGCGTGTTACTGTCAGGTTGGGCTTTTTAATTTGTTGCATTGTTTTATTTTTTCTTCTGTATTATTATTCTGCTACATCCAATTTCCAACTGTCCTATCGTCAACATGTTAATATTATATAATAGATGAACATGGATTTGTGAATCGGAAATGGAAAGGTACACTAAATAATTGACGACTCTGACTCATTTTTTAGTTGTTAAACCTCTGGTAGTTTCAATTAGTAATGTTATTCTAAACAAATAGGAAATTGCAATTTGATAGAAAACAATGATTTCACTAAATCTCTAATTACTTAACCCCAGAATTCCACTATTGCTCATAATCTTATTTCCTTTAAATACATGAAATAGTCCATTTTATTATGCTTTCAAGCTTATGTACATTGGTTTCAGCAACTGTTAATCTTCCGTGCCTTCGGTATTTTGGGGTGTACCACAATCATTTTCTGCTGTTCGTGTGGCTATTGATGATGAGGTGAGCATGAGACAAAGAAGCAAGTTAAATATCCATACATTTTTTCTATTGACAAAGATTAAATCTTAATTCTTGATTTTACTACTTCCTTCTGTTCTTGAGCAATAGACATTCTTTGTTTTTTCTTTAATCAAATATGATTTGATTGCAGCCAAGAAAACAACCGGGCCTAACAACTCTAGGTCGGGGCCAAACAAGGCAGTGGACATTGGCAGGTGAAGCTCATATTCTTTTCAGCATTTACCTTCTATCTTTCTGCATCTTAGTCATTTATTGTTTCTCTTCATTAAAGTTAACGTTGAACAGCAAATTATCATTGCCCTGACAATATAAGCTTCATATTAGCCAAATAAGGAGCATATGATCGAAATAGAGATTTGGAAGTAAAATACAAAATATAAAAAGGTAAGTTGATAAGGTATAAACACGAGTAAGATATCAAATCCAAAGAGGATAAAGGGGTTTTTTATTTGGCTGTGTCAGAGTAAAAAGATGAAATTAACCTTTCGATTATTATTGATCATAACTAGTCGTATAAAAATATATCAACAATAAATTATTGCCAATAGTTAACTTGGAAAAAGTTCAGCAACACAACCATACAATGGGCAAGCATTAGCATGTGATTAAAATAGAAACTGAAAAAATAAAGGGAAAAAATCGAAGATAAAAATCATTATCCATTATTAGGTGAATGAATAGTGTTTCATGACAGTTGATTGATAACAGCAGCGTCGAACGATGAGCGGTTGTGGTGACCACATTTACCAGGTCAATATTACGAAGAAAAGCTCAAAAGCACCTAAAATCAGGCTTTTTTTTTAATAATATTTTTAAAAATTATTTATTAAGTTTAATAATATTTTAAAAATATAATTTTTTTTAAAATAAATTTTCCTGGGATGTTATTATGTCATGTTCATTTTAAGTTTTGAAACTAGTCTTAAGTATGTTAGTAGTTGTGGTAGCTTTAAACCACCACTAAATTCGTGGTTGTTTCTCAGATATTGGGGTGGAATTTTTAAATTTAAAATTGCGGCAGATTTAAAATGTCACTAAATTAAACAAATTTAGTGTTGTTACTTTTTTTTTCTAAACGAAGATTGTTTCAAATGGCTAATAAATATATGAATATTTAAGCAAAGATTAATGTAAATTTACAAAGTGACTCATGAATAAATTAATAAAATAATTTGGGATAATATATTTTTAAAAATTAAAATATTTATAATTTAATTTTTAGTAAATTGTATAAATTCAGGGTCTTAAATATCTTAGATATTTAAAATAAATTTTTTAAAATATTTTTTTTAAGATAACTATTTTTTAATAATATGATTGTTTACATGAAACTCAATTATATTATTTCAAATTCACTCTTATTTTTATTTTTGAAGTAAGTTAAAGAATTTTTTTTGTATTTTTAATAACTAATTTGATAATAGATTGAGTTGTTATAGTTGAAAGTTATGAGATAAAGTTATGAAAAAAGATATCCAAGTTAAGAAATCAAATGAAATCAAGTAATTTTTGTTTGAAATATTGTTGTAGAAACTTTGTACAATTTTCTCTTATCCAATTTTAATTTCTCTTCATTTATTCTTTCTTAATAATATGTAAACTTGTTTTCCAAATTCATCAGAAACTTTAAACCTAAATAGTCATATTCTCTTGCATTATTATACTTTGAACTGTGATTTTTGTAAGTAGAACAATTAAATTTAAAAATATCATATATACATTCTAAGTATCTTAAAAATTAACAATTTAGTGTAATCAAAACAAAAATAATGACTAAAGAGATGTGGTTCAACTATAAAAAATACAAAAAATCCATTCATTGTAATTTTTGCTTAAGTCCCACATTATTCGCTTAAACGAATTATAGACATAGTTGAACTAATAAATGTCATCAAAACTTGCTTTAATTAAAATACTTTCTCTTAAGCAAATTGTAAATAATGATAAATTTAAAATTTTTGTTAAAATTTGTGTAAACCAATATAATTTAGTTTAAACCAAAAATATTTTGCTTAAGGGAAGGAATTACTACTTAAGCAAAATAAATTCAATAAATTTTTTTCTAAAACATGAGAAAAATTTTAAAAAAATATTATACATCTATCAGTATAAAAACTTATTTTTATAAGGAATTAAAATTTTAAAAATAAATATGAAAGTTTTAATTATAAAATTTATTAATTTCATACATAAAATTTGTGTAAAACTCTAATAATCTAAAATAATATTTAATATTTATTAATTTAAAAGTTATTTTTTATTATAAATCAAAACTGCATTAGTATACATGAATATATATTTTCTTAAAATCAATACTTAAATATATAATATAGATGGATGTATGATAATAATTTGTAATTTGATAGATTAAAATAATAGACAAAACAAAAATTATGAATTAATATAATACTTTTAAAATTTAAAGAATAAGATTGCAAAGTCCTTTGAACTTTTTTGTGGGTCAATATTTTTTTTGAATTTTTTTATAAAAAAAGGTTAATTACATAGCAGAGAAAAATTCTTTGAAGTTTAATAATAAATAATTTATGTTATTCAAACATTAAAAGAAAAATGATCCACATTCTGCACGATCTGCGGAACCCAGAAACGCGTTTTTGGAAGTAGCTGAGTCAGATCTTTGTCATATCAATTTGGATAAGACTTTGCCTATTTTTTCTCTCGTATTCCCAACTACCGTGTCTCCTCTTCCTTTATTACCTCTCAAGGAATCACTGCCACGTCATCAATCATGTCATCTAATTAATAATTAATTATGTCTATACAATATGTTACATTTCTCTGTCTTTTTTGAAAAATTCCTTGTCGGCTTCTGAAAATATTTTCCATTGCATTACTTTATGTTCTAAACTTTTTCAGCGAAGTTCATTCATATTTGAAAATCATGTGGCTCAGAACGTTTAGTAAATCTATAATCGATGCAATATTAATAGTTTAATAAAAGTTTAAACATTTTAAATCTGTTCTGACTTGTATATATTATTATAAACGTAATAATTACTTGTAGTATGTTGCTTTTTCATCTTTATCCACTTTTCTAGTTAGGATAGAATTGCCACGTTGACAGAGTTTCAAACCCCCAAACCCCCCAATTTGGAGCATGTATTGCATCTATATATATCTGAGCATTAGCGACTCATTGTTCCTATCATTCTCCTTGTTCAAAGGCTATCACTAAATCTAATTCTCCATCTGCAGCTATTTCCAATTTTGCTGATCTAAGGTACCCTGTATCTCCCTCTCTACTTTTCTTCGTTTCCATTTTTTAGATCTTTTTACATTGCTTGATTATTCAGAAGCTAAGAGGTTTTTTATGTCCTATATGCAGCTAATTGGTATACAGATATTGTTGGTGCATTTCTGTGAGAAAACAAAAGTGGTGACATTGGAAGCTAACTGAGAGGCAAAAAGATGTTGGGGATTTTCAATGAGAAGTTGGTTAACGCACCCAAGGAGCTACACAGTCCAGCTTCTTTCAATTCATGCACTAAGCCTAAGCTAACTCATGAAATCCTTCAGGATTTCATATCCTGCGATTCCTCCAATGCTTTTTCCATGAGCTTTGGGAATGATGCTTTACTAGCACATTCCCCTTCAAACACACCCTCCTTCATTCATCATAGGTATGTCTTAAGAGGCTTATCAATTTTGGTTAATTGCCTTTGATATATGAGTGCCACTGAAGCTTCTTCACCTAGTAATTGAAAGATCAGTTAATACATTACCTTTGACATAATGAGTTGATGTAGGGAGAAGAGATTAACTAGATAATGAATTTATTGTTTCAGAAAAGGATTAATGAATAATGTGTGTTTGTATGTTTATTGACTTGTATGGCTAACGAAATAAAAAATGTGTCACAGGTTGTTTAGTGGTTTGGATAACATATATTGTGTGTTCCTGGGTAGCCTGCACAACCTTAGCAAGCTCAACAAGCAGTATGGGCTATCAAAGGGAACCAATGAGGCGTTGTTTATCATTGTAGCATTTCGGACACTTAGAGACAGGGGTCCCTACCCTGCTGATCAGGTCCTCAAAGAACTTGAAGGCAGTTTTGGATTTGTGATCTATGACAACAAGGACGGAACAGTTTTTGTTGCATCTGTAAGTCCCTTTCTTAATCACTAGATTTTGGATCATCTACATTGGGAATGGAAAAGGGGATGTGTGATTTGACAATGTATACATATGGTGGTTTTAATATTTGTGGCACTGATTACCCACATGCTGTTTGCGTTTGAGCAGGGTTCTGATGGCCAGATTGGGCTCTATTGGGGTATTGCAGCCGATGGTTCAGTAGTCATTTCTGAAAATTTGGATATTATAAAAGCAAGCTGTGCTAAATCATTTGCACCATTTCCACCTGGTATGTAAATTTGGTTTCTTTCCCTTGCAATATAGGATTCTGTAATGTCCCAATCAAATGTTGTAGCTTTGATTTTAAACAACCATATAAAATACAAGTTATAATGAAATTAATTCAATTCTAACATCGTGACTAAATTAACTGGGGACTAATAGAAACATTAACTATATTTCAAAAGCTGGAATTTAATGCATAACTGGGTTAAAATTGCAGGGTGTATGTTTCATAGTGAGCATGGTCTTATGAGCTTTGAACATCCAACGAAGAAGATGAAAGCAATGCCTCGAATTGATAGCGAGGGGGTTATGTGTGGGGCCAACTTCAATGTCGACTCTCAGTCAAGGAGCCCAATGATGCCACGTGTTGGAAGTGAAGCTAATTGGGCTACTTGGGGCTAGCAAGCTTGGCCAATTTAATCATAATCTTTGTTTTCAAATTTTTTTTTTGTCTTTTTACCAATTACCCCTTTCTAAGATGCTGGGAGTAACCTAATATGATGGAGGTGACTCTCTGCTTTTAGCCCTTTTGGGATATCTAGTTTTTTTCTTTTGGTTTGTACATATTCATGCTTCAATCTTGAACATGACTATGGTAATTTCCAATATGAATAACAAGAAGCTTTAGTTTTGACTTTTTGAGAATTCTTGAGCTTGTATTTGCTTTTGTTAAATGTTCTTGAATCTTTCTTCATAAAACAAAGCAGAATAGGAGAAAATCACGCGCACTCGTATACATGGTATCAATATATTTGTTCCATCGAATCCAAAATATGGTAGTGCAAAGAAAATTCTGTTGATAACTTCTGTAAGACTTGGAAACGAATATAAATCTAAGTGATATTATATCATTCGGAAGGTTAAAAACCCCTGTTGTGTAATTCCCTTATATACTCCAAATCAGCGGACTCATGGCAGTTTGATGCAATAAGGTTTCCTTTAACAAACATATATGAATTTAAGGTTAAAATCGCTGAGATTCTACTTAAAACAACCGAACACTGGATTGCATTACCTGTTTTAATTTCCTTTTTTGTATTAATGCATGCTACTTTTATTTGTCTTTTAAATTTCGGAAATGAGAGGGCGATATAACTATATGTTATTAAAATACTACCTCAATGATAATATGAACACTTGAAACTTACGGCTACAAGTGGTAATTGAGCTTCTCTTTGCCCAAAAAGGAAACAAATATAAGTGTCTTCGGAATAGCCATAAGTTGCTACGGACAAGCCTAATTGTAAGTGTGTGAATTTTTTGAAGGTTCCATCCCAATAAAGGTTGAACAGTATGCCTCATGGTCTTAGCTGAACTAATTATCAAATTGCAAAAATGGTGGTGTTTGTAGAAGCCATTGGAAAACCACACTGGAAATAATAGTATTCAGTTAACCACCCTAGAACTAAACTATTGGCACTCTAAGAAAAATGTGTCTATCAGTACTAAAAATTCAAAGTTCTTATCTGTGGATTCTCTTAATATGTTTCTACAAAAAAAACACTGGAAATAATGGTACTCTATTTAAACTTAGCTACTATGTATGTATGTATATTTGTTTTTGTAAAGAAGGAAGAGCATATAATTTGTCGTGAATGCACTCATGACTCAACACTAGGATTCTTGAAGGTCTCTTTCAGTGCTGGTGTTCTTGGTGTAAACTACACTTAACTACTTGAATTTTATGACTATTGCAACTTAACATAGAGGCTAAGATCATGTTCAGTGCCTTCATGACTCAAAATTGCTTCAAAATATATATCAGAAGATTAGGTATCTCTCCAGAGTACCTCTCATCATGTATAAACATTGTCAAGCATTACTTGCATTGCTATTTTGCAAACCATTGTAGATTGCTTAATAAAAATTCATTACATGAATTGCTGTCACATGTTAATAAAAATAGTTGTTACAATTTAACATAACGTGGATTGCTGAGCAATTTGATTTGAAAGGATGGGTGGGAAGCATGCTCCTACAGCTTGTGGTGTTCCAATTCTTGCCAAATGAATTGGTTAAATATAACATTGGTGATCCCTATAACATTCCATATATATATATATATATATATATATATATATATATATATATATATATATTCACGTCATGATTTTATTTTTAACTAAATATAGTACTCAGACTTTGTAAGCGCTATTGAAAAGTGATAATAATAAAGACTAACTCCCATTTTAGTTTCTTAGAGAGTTTGAGTGCAGCATTTTAGTCACTGAGACATTTAAATATCACATTAGTCCGCAACTTCTCTCTCTGTCATGCATTTTAATCCCTGACATCAGACCCTGTTAAGAAACCGTCACAGAAGGCTGAGTTGTCACGTTAAGTGCTACGTCAGAATCCCATTTGGCAACAACAAAGTCATTTTTGGAAGCTGGCGTGACACAAATAATTGCGAAATAGTATCGTTGTCAATAAAACCCTTTTGCCCAAATTGAATCAAACATATCAGCATATATGTCGCGCCTCTGGTCTTCTTCCACTATTAGGGCTAGGGTTCATGGTTGCAATTGAGTTTCTTGGGTTTCTTCTATTCTTCTATTATTGGGGTATCTTGCTTCTATTATTAGGTTCCTTTCTTCCTTGCATGATTTGAGTTTCCAACACTTTATATGGCTAGTAATAGCAATAGAAGTCCTCTAATGAGTTCTACTTCAAGGTCATCATCAGACCAAAATAAGAGACGAAATGGCAAGATTTGTCATTGTGGGTTGAAAGCAGCTGGTAAAATTTCACAAACAGAAGCTAATCTTGAAATATTGTTCTTTGGATGTCCCAAATATATGGTAAACAAAGTTAATTTAGTGTTGTGTTCAATTGCCATTTCTGATAAATTAAGTTACTTCTTATACATGGTGTAGGTTGGTGAACATTGCAATTATTTTGTGTGGGGAGATTAAAAAAATAGCATGGAGGATAGTTATAATGTTGCTAATTATCCAACCTCTCAAGTAACGTCTCTTCTTACAAGTGCAGCAGCTGTAAATGAAGAATTTGGCTGCCAAAATAACATATTTAGAGGCTAAAATTAAGAAATTAAAGTTACTTGTACAGATTGTTTGTATTTTGATGTGTATTATCATGTACTTTATTGTAAGATAATGATAAAATTTTGTTTTAACATTAATAAAGATGCTTTTGTAATCATTGTTGACCTACATATTGTTTATATTTTAGTGAAAAAATTGATGAAAAGAAGAATGAAAGCCTACCAAAGAGTACTGCAAACAAACTAAATGTATGATATACCAAGAAAGTTAAAAACATTTCAAACTAATGTTGATTTGTGGTGCTTTTTACAGTGAATATATTTACAAAGATTAAGTTTAAATTTTGGCTTAAAAACAACAGTACCATTTATGTAAGTTTTGATTACCATGACAATACAACAATACCCAATTTTGGTTTAAAAATTATAAAAATACTAAATAATAACTAACAACATAAAAAACTAAATGGAAATAAAACCATTCAATGCATTAAATTGGTGGAACCTAAAACATGACAACTTGTCCAGTCAAAATAACTATTCCAAATAAAACATGTCCAAATGAAATAAGTCTTACATAATACAAACTTGTTACATAAAAAATAATTAAAATAAGTAACATAATCACAACAACTCATTATGCAGTCCTAAGGCGTTAGCATGAATTGTGCAGCTTTTGCAGAGTTATCTCCCTTTTCATTTGGTAAAGATGGTGGTGAACTTTGCAAAGGTGATGTGGGAACATTTGTAGCAAATGACCTTGTCTTAATGGTTAATTTAGGCCTAATTCTACCTCTTTTTTTTTTGTGGTACTACATCTATTGGCCCTTCTTTTGCAAGTACAGTGGAAGATTGTTGTGTTAGAGCTTCTTCTGTAAGTATGGTGATGGACTGTTGTGTTGAGTTGTTGTTTTGGGCTTGAGAGTCTTCCATTCTTTGCTTTTTCAATACAGGACAAGTCTGTTTGTTGTGTTTTAGAACTCCACAACATAAACACCTAACCTCTGACAATTTTCTTTTCAATTTATGTTTCTGTGGATTCTCAATTGTTTGTTTTTCTTGTTCATCTTTTCTTCTTTGTTTCTTAGGTCTGCCTGTAGTCCTCTTAACAGTTGATGACAGTGGTGGAATTAGCTCACTTTTCTCCCAAATCTCTTGACTTTGTAATGGTTAAACATGATTTTCATAGGTTGCACAACATGCTTCCATTTTTAATCATCCATGGCAATAATCTTCTGGTCTCTCATTTTTATATACTATTGCAACAATAGCATCCATACAAGGCATGCCTGTAAAAATTATAAGAAAAAAAATCAAAGATTATATATGCTGCATATTCATATAGATTTAACACATTAGGCATCATATAGAATTAACTAACCCGTTAATTGTCAAAATCTACAAGTGCATGTGTGGCTGCCCAAGTGAACAGCAACTTTAGTTGTGAAACATTGTATTTCAAACCTATGAGTATCATCATCACCCATGATATAAGTTTAGTTAAGACAAATTAAATGTTATACTACTAAAAATTATCAAAAAATTAGGATTATGTTTATCTGCCCATATTGGTGTCCACTTAATGCTTTGTTGTTTTAATTTCTCCAACTTACTTTGCTGTATAGGATGCAACTGACATGCATGGGCTGCCAACTTTAACTTATTGGTACTAATTGTTGTCATGATGTAGCATCGGACTTCTTCCAGCATTGTTAATATTGGTTTACACCTTGCATTTATAATCTTTGAATTGAAAATCTTGCAGTTATTGTTACAAATATTATCCACCTTTGGTCATTCACTAAAGTATGCCTTAGTCCATGTTTCCTTTGGCCACTTGTCTAAGTATGCCCATGCCTTCTTATTCAGTTTCTTTATTGTGTACATGTTTGCATTGAATTGTGAGATGGTGGTTGATCATGCACATTGCCATACAAGGTGCTTCAAGACTTTATCCTTCCATTGTTTACAAAAATTTTGCAATAGATGCCACACACAAAACCTATGGTGTGCACCTAGCATCACTTCTTGCAAAACTGGAATCAAATCTTGCAGTAAAATACGAAGTTTATTTTAGTCCTTGATAGAATAAAAATCATGTAATTTAGTCCCTAACTAATTTATTATTCATGCAATTAAGTCCTTGTCAATTCTAAGTAATGAGTAACTTTATCCTACGTAACTGTTTACCTTCTGCATGTCAGATAAAAAATTCTAACCATGCTGTTTATAATCTCTCATATCTTCATGTAAGAGTCATAAAAACTATTGTCAATTCTCTTTATTTTCAACATCCACAACAGCATAGGCTATTACTCATATATGATTATTAGCATCATGTCTCACTGCTATCAACAACTATCCTCGGTAATAACCTTTAGAAATGCACCATCAAGCCCTATCATTGGTCTACATTTAGCCTTAAAGCCATTTTTACACCCAGCAAGGCATATATACAATCGTTTAAACTGCGGTGGACCTTCAACTTGAAGATCACTTTCTATTTTGACAGTTGAACCTTGATTACTTCTCAAAAGTTTTCCACAATAGTCTTATAACTTTCCAGATTGTTCTTTCTCACTTCCCTTTATAATCTCTCTTGCCTTAACCATTGACCATTGACCTATATATTTTGGTATCTTCTATCTGCACACCAAATTTCTTTTTAAAGTACTCAACAACTTCAGAATGTTTCATATTGGGGTGTTTCTTTAGTTTTATAACAAGCTTACCTACAACCCAATCTTGTGTTGTTTGTTTGTTTTTAAAAACCTTGCCACAACTGTACTCACTGATAAAAGTCTTAATCTGAAAGCTATGTGTGACATTATTTTTTGCACAATATATTTTTCACTTGCAATTTTCATGTTTACACTTAGCTCTTGCTCTCACTTTGTCATTTTTTACCCACCTTATTTCTCTTCCCATCTAAATTGTATAATCTTTAACACTTTTTTTGAAAGATTGTAAACTTTTAAACTCCATTCCTAGCTCCAAGTTAACATTTCCAAATTTTGCAGATTCATTAAATTTGGAAAAAACTTGTTTGTTATTATCTTCATCATCTGAGTTTGTTGGAGTTCTTAATTCTTCAAACTTCCATAAATTTTCAGAATGTTCTTCTCTTTCTTTACAGTATTATGTTTCCTTATGACCCATCTCTTCTTCATCTTCTATACTATTTTCATAAAGTTTCTCATGTAAATAATCTTCTTCATCAATATAGGTAATTTTTTCTTTACCTTTTCCTTCAATTTATTTTGCCTCTTTCCCTTTCCCTTATTCTTTTCCCATGCTTTTTCTTTTTCTATTTTCTTTCTGATATAGCAAATTAAAGGTTGTCTTTCATGGCTCCTATTCGCAAACTTCTTTTTCTTATTTTCCCAGCTGATTTACTAGAGTCGCCTTTTCCTTTTCCCTTTCCTGTTTGCTTTCCCTTTGCCTTTTTCTTTTGTTGTTTCCTATCAACTTCAACTTATACTTTGTGGACTGTTGTTATATCTTCAACTTCTAATTCTTCAACTGTTACATTTTCAACTTGTACTTCTTCCGTTGCTGGTTGTTCAACTTTAATACCTTCTTCCATTTTTGGTTGTTCAACTTCTAAACCTTCTTCCATTGTTAGTTGTTCAACTTGAATGTCTTCTTCCATTGTTGTTTGTTCAACTTGAATTTCTTCTTCTATTGCTGCAATATCAACTTCAGGGCCTTCCAACATTATAATTTCACCGTCTTCAAGCAATTGTGGTTTACCAATCTCATGCTCATAATTGATATGCATCTCCCTTATATTCCTCTTAGTAACAACCACCATTTTCAACACATCAACATCATATTTTAATAATTTCAAACATTCATCAAACTCTTTATCAGGGTCAGACCAGAGTATATTTTTTATGTTACTGAAATACCCTATTGCCTTGGCAAAGTTTATGAAGCTAAAAATATTTACCACATCTTCATCAACATCAGTCCAAAGCTCAATTTTATCCCACATGTACTCCTTAATTCTATTTTCTTCCAAAAATTTTCCTCTATGGTGAATGTATAACTTAATTGTCTATATTTACAGAGAAATAATTATCAAAATAGTCAGCAATCTTTTGCAATTTTAAACTAATTTACTGAATAAACAATAAAAGTCATGTAGCACATGGGAAAATGGGTTAAACCATGCAGAAAGTGACCACTTTCATTAACATTATCTTCTTTAATTTTAAAAACCAAAAAGTTATAAGAAACATAAGGGGACTACTGCTTACCAAGGACCACTTCCTATCATCCCTTGTTGTTTTCTCAGTAACAAATAAAAAGCATTTTTCAATAACCACATTCACATTGATTAAGGAAAAAGAAAATAGCTAGGATTCGTCGTCCCTAAAACATTGAATACTTAGGGTTCATCGTCCTCAAAACATTGAACAGTTAGGGTTCTTCGTCCCCACACCAAAAAAATGACTCAATGAATTAAGAAATTTTTTTTTATCGAAGTCTCCATCTGTTGGCCCTTCTTTCACTACAACAAACTTTAATCTTTAAATATTTCACCCCCAAATATAACTACGAACAAGAATTTGGGCGAGATTTTGCATGGACTTAGGGTAGAGTTCTTTGACAACAATGAGAAAATATGTAATTCAATTTGGGCAAAAAGGGTTTCAATGATAATGACACCATTTCGCAATTATTTGTGCCATGCCAACTTCCAAAAATGACATTGTTGCTGCCAAGTGGGATTTTGACGTAGCACTTAAAGTGACAGCTTAGCCTTCTGTGATGATTTCTTAACGAGGTCTGACGTCAGAGACTAAAATGCATGACAGAGAGAGAAGTTGCAGATTAACGTGATATTTTAAATGTCTCAAAGACTAAAATGTTGGACTCAAACTCTCTTAGGGACTAAAATGAGGGTTTAGTCTAATAATAAATAATAGTATAGTGATGTGTTCAACTCACTAGTTTCTAATTTTCATGCACTCTAATGAATTATATATATAAAGTAAACCTACAAATTGGAATCTATCAAGTTTTATATTCTGACATTAACAACAGGCCTCAGCTCCTAACACCAAGCACACTCCTCACATCGCTACATATACCTGATCTTGGGTTGCCACTAAGAAGACACCAAATTAATGATACAAATTTTTTGTAGTTCTAACATGAACTATGATTTGTAACATTTTTCTTTCTTAAGCAACCAACAAAAATTAAAAAAGTAATTTATTTAAATAAAAAGAATTACTTAAGCTAAAATCATATAAAAAAAATCAGAACTTTATTTTTTTTTCTTTGAACAAGGACATCTTAATTATATTGAAGTGGAATTTATGAAGGACACTTTCAGGTTATTACTCATAATTAGTTTTATGTTTTTAATTTTTTTTTACAATTCAAATCTTAAATATTCTAATGCATGATTCAAAAATATTTATCATTCATTTAATATATCAGGCTAAATTAGACCACAGTGAAACAAAATTGCCAAATTTAACTGCTAAGATTAAAATTAACAAAAAAATAAAAATAATTTAAAATATTACTTTTGAATGTAGCAAAATATGAAGAGCGTTTAGACACAAAGAAAGAAAAAACATACTTTCTAACACTATATTTATGTTTCTTTTTGTGAATGGTTTTCTTAGGAAAAAAAAAAGGAAACATCAAATTTTTGGTCAATTCCAAAACTCTTACTTCCTTTACAAACTAACAAATATTGTATTGAGTGCATGTTAAATCGTTATTGATGAGAGGAAGAAGACATAATTGAGATAAAAAAGAATATGTCAGTTATTTTTTGTTATTTCAAATTATTAGATTAGTATCATAGTAAATAAATCGTTTTGATATTTTAGAAATAATTGAGTTTGTTATCAAATCTTTCAGTTACGTAAGTAGTTTAGATTTTTTTTGACTTATTATAAATTCATTATTACTATTGAATAAAAGTTGAGTTCTTTATGCATTCATTCTTCTCACATTTTTGTGCATTTCTTTTTCTTTATTTTATTTTGCTTTTTTTTACCATAAAACCAACAAAGTGGTATCAAGAGCTATTTTCTTACGGACTTGTAAAAATGGATGTTGAATTAAATTTCTCACAAGTTGCTCCTTTTGTTTTTTATGGAGAAAATTATGATATTTAGGCTATCAAAATGGAGACTTACCTAAAGGCTTTAGATCTTTGGAAAGCTGTTGAAGAGGATTACGAAGTTTTTTCGCTACCGCACGATCATACATTAGTCCAAATAAAAATTCACAAGAAGAGAAAAACACGAAAAGTAAAGGCAAAATCATGTCTTTTTGCTGATGTTTCAACAACTATCTTCACCAGAATCATGACTTTAAAAACAACAAAGACAATATGGAATTATCTTAAGAAAGAATATGTTGAGAATGAAAGAATTTGAGGCATGCAAGTGTTGAATTTGATGAGAGAATTTGAACTCCAAAGAATGAAGGAGTCTAAGATAATCAAAGTATACTCAAACAGACTGTTTAGTATAGTCAACAAGGTAAGATTATTAGGTACTGATTTTCCTGATTCTAGAATTGTTGAAAAAATTCTTGTAACAGTGCCTGGAAGATTTGAGGCTACAAGCACCACTTTACAGAATACCAAATACTTGTCCAAAATCACACTGGTAAAACTCTTAAATGCCTTACAAGCACAAGAGCAAAGGCATGCAATGAAACAAGTTGTTATTGAGGGAGCTTTACATATCATGCATCATGAAAGTGCAAGATACAACAAGAAAAAATCTTATCCTCCATGTCATCATTGTAGAAAAAAAATAGTTATCCTTCTTTCAAATGTTGGAGAAGGCCAGATGCACAATGTATTAAATGTAACCAAATGGGACATAAAGAAGTTATATGCAAAAATCAAAACCAACACTAAGATGAAGAGACTAAGATTGCTCATCATGAAGAAGAAAATTATTTATTTGTTGCTACTTGCCTCTCCAACTTTAAATCAAATGAAGGTTGGCTAATTGATAGTAGTTGCACTAACCACATGACTAATAACAAAAAAACTCTAGAGATTTGGTGCCGACTAACATCACTAAAGTCAAAATAGGTAATGATAATTTCATCTCATTCAAAGGAAAGGGAACAATTACAATAGCAAACTATTCAGGTACGAAGTTAATTCATGATGTTCTTTGGGTTCCTAAAATTGACCAAAATTTGTTAAGTATTAGTCAACTGATTGAAGGGAGATTCAAAGTTATTTTTGAATATAAATATTGTTTGATTAAAGATGAAGTTAGTCAAAATATTTTCAAAGTAAAAATGAAACAAAAAACTTTTACTCTGAATCTATCGAAGGAGGAGCAAACAACTTTTTTATGAAAGAAAATACCACAACATTTCATCCTAATACCTTGAGTGGTAAAAGTAAGTTTTCTAGTTTCATCCATAATGCAAATGAAAGACATCCCAAGGTTGCAAAGAGAGTGGTTAAATATTTCAAAGACACTCGTAACTCAAGCATCAACTTCAAGAAGAGTAAAAAATTCAAGCTGACTGATTTCTCCAACAATGATCTAAGTGATTCAGTTAATTACTTCTCTTTTCTATGACAAGAGAAGATTTTATTTGATTCTAATTTGAAGTAAAAAGAACACAAAATTCTTGTTGACAATAAATTTACTTTCTGTTAGCAAATTTAAACCGCATAAAGATAATTTACAGTTCAAAAAGCAAGAAAAAATGTTAACAACATACTTTTGAAACTGCTGTCAATTATTTTCTATTATTTCAATTTATTAAATTAGTATAATAGTTTATAAGTCATTTTGATATTTTAAAAATAATTTAATTTATTATCAAATCTTTAAGTTAAATAGTTTAAGTTTTTTTGACTTATTATAAATGCATTATTATTATTGAATAAAAATTAAGTTCTTTATCTATTTTTTCTTTTCACATTTTTGTACATTTTCTTTTCTTTATTTTATTATAAAACCAACATTTACTTTAAGTCAAAAAGGAAATAACTTTACAAAATTCTAGCGACCAACCTTTGCATAAGCCATTGGGCCCCACCCCTACCTCCAATCATGAACCGCCACGGAATTCTAGCTACCAACCTCTGCATATGCACTAAAGCCATTTCCTTTACCAAACAAATCCTAGGACTGACCTGAAAATTAGAAACTTGAACTAATCCTTTAAACCTCCATTCAACCTTCTCCAACCACCTCCAGCAAGGTCAAGTTTTTGCAACGGTTCTGGGACTGTCCACGGTGTTGGAGACGGAGGCTCGTTGTAGAGCAAAGTTGGCATCACACGTCACTCAGCAAAAATTATTGTGAGTTTAGTCAGTATAAAAGGTTAAAAATCCTTAACCATATATCTGGAAGGAGCAACCAATCATAAACACTACATGAATAGCATCATTTGGCCATAATTCCCATAAAATTGAGATCTTGATGAACTGCTTTCTAATACTTGGAATTTGACAATATCTACATCTCAAACCCTAGTTTGCTCGGTGACCATTAGTCAGAACATATTTATAAAGAACCTGTCACTAAATCAACATCTCTCCTCCTGTACAATTCATCTACCTTCAGCTGGCTATACAACTCGAACCCATGTTCCGCCACACATTGGGCAGCCATAAGCCCAGCGGCTGATCCACCAAGTATCTCGATCATTTTGAGTAATAAGGTTGGTGGAAGCTGGTGAGGCAAAAGCACAGGTCTGCCGCAGACATCTTATGCACTGTGTGCCAAAAAGAAGTAAAATTAATATTGAGAAAATAAAATAATACTTGAAAACTGATCTGAGTATAATTTCTCAATAATTACATGTATATATAGGAGGCTAATCTTAATATTTACCTAATAGAATATCTCTTAATAACTACAATGAATAAATGGAAATTATTTTCCAGTGAAATATATCTATACAATAATAGTAATAATGAAAATATATTTTCAACAATAATATCTACATGCTGGCAGATAATAAAATTAGGAGGTCTGGAAGAAGACTAAAGATTACTAACTTCCAAGCATCATCGGCTTTGTTTACTAATTTGGTCCATGTCAGCCAGATTAACATGTTTGACACTGCTAAATTTTCCATCACTCAACATTTACATTAGTTAGCAATTCTATATGTTCTATTGGTAGTGATAATCAAGACAAAACTTGACATTAACTACATTAGAGACTAAAAAAAGGCCAACCATAATCAATCACAAGCATATTTTGAGAATCTAAATCAGTATCTATTATTAGCATTTATTCATAATTTATGAGTTTTGATTGTAGGAATTATGGGTGTTAATGAAGTGTTACACATTTATGGATAGTTTTATTTGTGATTTATTTTCAGATTAATAAGTAAATTATAATCAATTTTGAGTTATGACTTTCTTGTATTTAAATGTTGTTAATATGAATAAAAATTTGAGTTTCAACTTTCTCTTAGTTCCAACATTTGCTAATCAGAGCTTTATTTGTTCTTGAGGGACTTGGTAAGGTTAAGAGTTTCATCAAACACCTAAACACTTACATTGAGAATAGAAAATTCAATCTGATCCAAAGTGGATTGTTGCGATGCACGAGGAGCTTAACATAATTGAGAAGAACCAAATTTGGAAATCGGTTGACCCCAACACAAAAATGTTATAGTGTTAAATGGGTGTTAAGGACCAAATACAATGCAAATGGTTATATTAGTAAAGGGATTTGCTCAAATATTTGAAGTTGATTTTTCTGAAACATTTGCTCCAGTTGCTCAACTTGATACAATCATATTGGTTTTTTCTTTTTCAGCTCAAAAAGGATGGAAGGTATCTTAGTTGGATATAAAATTTGCTTTTTTCAATGGTTAGTTGTAGGAGGAGATATATGTTGAGCAGCCTAAAGGTTTTGCACTTAAAGGACAAGAAGACAAAGTTTATTTGCTAAAGAAGACCTTATATGATTTAAAGTAGGCTCTAAGGGCTTGGTATAGTAAGATTGATCAGTACTTGTTGTGTATTGATTTTACAAAAAGTCTTGGTGAATCAACTCTTTATATGTCAATTATTTCTCAGTGACAAGAAGCAATACTGCATTTGTTGAGGAGTTCAACCAAAATATGATTAAAGTCTTTGAGATGACAGACTGTGGAGGAAATTACTTTCTTTCTTGGCATGGAAGTCAAACAAGATGAGAAAAAGAATCTTTATTAGTCAGAAGAAATATGTAAAATAAGTTCTCAAGAAATTTCAAATGAATAACTCAGCCTATGAGTACTCCAATATTTCAAAAGTTGAAGCTTTGCAAAGAGGATGGTTTAGAAAAAGTTAATGAAACTGATTTTAGAAGTCTTGTCAGCTGTCTCATATATCTTACAATAAGACTTGATATTCTGCCAGTTGTAAGGGTTTTTTTAGATTTTTACATTATGCAAGTGAAGTGCATCTTCAAGCCATTAAATGTGTGCTAAGATATGTCAAAGGAACTCTTGGTTATGGAGATTGACTCAAGTATAATCAAGAATTTAATCTCCATGACTTTTCTGATAGTGATTGGGTAGGTTCATTGCTTTACATTTAGTTTTGGAGTGTTTTCTTGGGTTTCAAAGAAGCAAGATATTGTAGTACAATCAATTGCAGAATAGAATTCATGGTTACTACTATAGCTGTTAATCAAGTTTTATGACTGACTAAAATTCTAGTTGATCTACTACAAGTGGTTCAAACTTATTCAACTAAGGTGTTTTTGCAATTTCTAATAATTCAGTTTTTCATGGTAAGACTAAACAATGTCAAGTTGTGTTTTCTTAAAGAAGTTTAGAAAGAAGGTGAAGTTTTATTAAAATATTGCAAGACAAAAGACCAATTGATAGACATCTTTACAAAGGCACTTCCAAAAGAACGGTTCGAGAACTTGGAAAAGAAACATGGAGTGATGCAAGGAATGTTGAGAATTTGAATTAATATCTATTATTAGTGTTTATTCCTACTTTATAAGTTTTGATAATAGAAATTATAGGTGTTAATTGACTGTTATGCATTTATGGATAGTTTTATTTGTGATTTATTTTCAGATTAATGAATAGAACTATAATCAATTTTTAGTTATGACTTTCTTGTATTATGAATAAAAATGTGAATTTCAGCTTTCAAGTTCATAGCCTTCTAAATTTCTTAGTTCCAACAGCATTTAATAGTTATAAAATCTTACGTGCACATGGACAAAAAACAATACAAACAAATGAAGAGGATTTCTGTTCATACCTTGTACCAAATCCCTTCAAGGCCAGTCTTCCACAATGCAGTAACAACATCTCTTCGAGATCCCATTATACCAAGATAAGCTCCCAGGCCCACAGAAGTGTTCAACCCAAAAGCTGCATCTCGTTCAGACATCCTGCGCTTCCTTGGCCATAAGCCATTGGCTCCATTGTAGACATCACAATTTTCAACCAAGCCAGAATCTAGTGGATTTAAACTAACAAGTTTTGGTGCATCATTTGTAGAATCCAGATCATCTGGATCAGACCACGGTCCACCAAACATATTCCTTCTATGCCACTCTTCTGCTGGAGGGTGGAGTTCTAGCTCACGTAATAAAAGACCAGCAGCATCTGCGCCTCTAGGACGAGGCATGTTCTGCATAGCCATTTTATGTTTAGTTTTGAGAGCAGGGGTCATTCATAGAAAGCTAGTCACTTAATTCAATGAAACTAACAGATTTTAATCCACCCAAGAGGGAAAAAATGTCTTTTATCTTAAGAGTAACATTCAATTAAATGTCCCTACATAATCTAACACGGTTGTGCTTTGTCACTTGAACTGAAACAATATCTTTTACAAAAGACATCCTTACTACATAAAGACAATTGAATGGCATCATCCTTTCTATCCTTACTTCATTAACTTGTATAACTATCACATCACATTTTCAAATCATGAATTAAATGGAAATATAAATTTGTGCCAATAATATATTTTGTTCACTATATTTTGTGGCAATAATGATAGTAGACAAGAGAATATTGGACTATCACCTATAGTGAAAAAGATGACTAAATATCATCTAAGGTGGTTCAATCATGTGCAGAGAAGACCTTTGGAAGTACAGGAGAGTGAATTGCATGACTCTTAATTTAGTAAAAAAAAAAGGGAGTTGAAAGAGACCCAAAAGAACCTTAAATGAAGTTATTAAAAAAAATTATTTTGATTAACCAAATTTCTTAAAATTTAATTTTTGACCAAGCTCAATGGCATCGTGTGATTCATGTAACCAACCTTATGTAGTGGGATAAGACTTGGTGGTGGTTGTAATATATTTTATTCATGAAATACTGATTATAAATAATTTTGTTTGTCTCCCACAAATACTAACATTAAAATCAGGAAACAAAAAGTTACCTACTAACCTGCATATGGGGCCCAAGGGATGCTTCCACAACCTCAGGCAATACAGTGTAGTTCCCGTCAATATAATGCAGCCGAACCTGAATGTTATTGCTCCCTACCTGAGAAACTGGCAATGGGTGTTGCAAGCCAGCGGTTCGGCGACATAGATCCATAAGCACTAGAAAAAGAACCTTGACCTGCATTTACAATTCAGTAAGATCATAACTTAAAATAACAGTCTGTCACCATAAATACAAGAGAGAATTATGATGAATTATGAAACACGTTTATGTCAATCACAAATCACATAAACATGAGCTTCTAGACAAGTCATAACAAAGTTATACCTCTTCAAATGTATATCCTTGGCCAGCATTTCCAGTACCAAGTCTTGAACGCCGGGGAGATGGTTCTTCACCTCCTTTTATCCCAGGCACCAGCTGACCAACTCGACCTGTCTGATCATCATCTGGCCTAACCACAGTTGACACTGGTTTTGCTGTATCCTCCACCTTGCCAGGAGCAGAACCATTAGGTTGAGGCTTTTGTGTATTTGTATCAGAAGTTCTCTGTGCATTCCCCACATAGTGAGGAAGTTGAGTTCGTCGAAAGAAAAAACAGAAGAGCAACAGTTGGCATAATCTATGGAGGAAATGGCAGTCTCCAATAAGTCGAACTGCAGGTGTTCCAGGAAATGTTCCTGTATTAATGCTTATGGGCATAAAGGGTGAAGGACCACTTATGGGGGGGTTGGGAGTTGGGTTGGACACTCCTTCTGTTGTGCTACTAATCTTGGCAATGGCGCCTTGTACCCAGGCTTGCATCGGTGTGCTTCCACTAGAACTGGTTGTCCCATTTGGACCTCCTGGACAATGTTGTCTTTGTTTTAATTTGATATGTAAATATAAAGAATAAAGATTATGCTGATGGTTAAGATAAATAAGGTATTCAAGGTAGGACAACTGAATTTTTTGTGACAATAAAAAAAAGCACCAAATCGTTGCTTCTATAGTAGATCCATAATGACTAGAACTTAAAAAGTACAGGTTTATACAACTTGTTATAAATAAAACCAAACAAAATTCAATATGTATATACAGGAAATGACTCAAATGAGAGTACTTGATTATTGTGAGAATAAGAACAGACCATTAGATCATTTTTAAATGGTCAATATTAAAAGAAAAATGCACTTGACATAATCATGTGACCACTAATGAACTTTTAATCAATGCAATATATCATAACAATGCACACTGACCCTGACTTGTTGCAGGAGTTGCAGAACTTTGGGCAGGATTGGCAACCATGTTTCGGTTGTTTCCAGTCCCTGCAGTCCCAGCATGACTTGCCAATGTACGACAGAAACTTGCATAACGCCGCAACCGTGTGATAAAATGTGAAGCCAGATCAAGAACTGAATCAACATAGGCCTGCATAATATTGAACCAGTTATAAGAAGTATAAAATCAAATGTTTAACAAATTAAAGAAAAATGTCAGCCTATTGAAAGAAAATAAAGAATCAAAGGTTTTAAAGATATAACACATACAAAAGTTTGATGAGTATATTTATCAAAATATTGTATTATATATGCCAAAAAATTCAGTTCTTTTACATGAGTAAATATAAATTAATCTATGGCAAGACCAAATAAAGCAGAGTATGCAAATGGAACCACACAGTTAACTATTGCAGCAACATAAAGTTTTATAAAAATCGTCTCAAAGGAGCACATGATTACAGTTGCAACCAAAGCAAACCTGAACACATGGAACTAGTGCAGGTTCAACAGCCACTGCTTCAGGGTCAATGCTGGATAATGTCTCGCCAGAGACTTGCCATGGATCAGGCACTAAAGCTGAAGGATTTATCAAAGCAGACTCAATTCCCCTCCCAAGCATATCCAACAACAACCTAGCTTGCATATCCAGAACCATTGCCCTGACCTCTTGAGCATTTGCCCCTTCAAGCAGTCTACACTTTATCCTGTCCAGACTCTGCAATAATAGAAAACCAAGTTATTTTTAGCCCAAAAAGCAACAAGAAGCCCATTTCCACATGTCTGAGTAAAAAAAACTGCAATAAACAGGAGAAATTGAAAGCAAAGTTGATGTTGTTTAATTTTATAACAATAAATGTCCTAGATGAAAGACAAAGAACAGATGTAGTGAAAGTTTGGATAAAAAGTGAATGTCAGCAGGTACTCAGAAGGTAAAAATCAAATTCAGACTAAACTCGAATATATTTAAACAATCCAATGGAATGGCTAATTAAAAATTGTCAAGGCCAATTTTAGAACTTTTTTTGGGAGATAATCGTGCCAGGTGGAAACACAGTAAAACAAGAAGGCAAACAAAGCAGGATCATCGGGTGGAACAGAACATCAAATTGTGTCAGCACGGTGTCCCTTTAGGAAGCCTATAATTAAAGCTTTAGAGCATCAAACACCTTATGAACAGTGCAACATCAAATTAAGCACTTTATTATCCATAAGTTGCTCAATGAGGACAAATAATATTAGTTGTGACTATGTCTTATGAGACAGATAAATTTGCTACTGACAAGAATTTACTGTAGATTCCATTATCCAGGCAATATTATTATATCCATGAAACACTCCATCAACAGCTTCATATGAAATAACAGAAAAATAATGACACCTTGGAGCTAACAACGAAAAAGATAACTACGAAAGCTAATGGTGATGGGTTAAAGAAATATACAGGACAATACTGTTGTCTGTGCTGAGCAGAAGGAAGAGAATGGAAATCAGCATCCAAGATTGCGATAACACTGTTAAGTGAAACTGAAACGGAAAAATTAAAAGCAAAAAGACTCATCAATGTATAGCATCAATAGCACATTATGCAATGCATAAATGAAACAAAGTAAAGTGTATTATCCTTTTTCTCTAATTGCCCTGGCACTAACTTCAACAGATCTAAACAATTTGCACTTCCTTACCAATACCATCCTCAGCAGCACTCTGTGTACAGCCCACAGCATCCCACCAATTAACTCCAACCAAAAGGCTCCACCAAAACCTGCTTTCCCCAACAGATGTTAGCAGAAAAATAAACCATTGAAAGTGATATAAACCACAACCTCCACTAAATTTATGCAAAAATTAAGTGTTAACAAGCCATGCATGTACCGAAAAGGGGTTTATGAAATCACCTTTCAGCAATTGCACGCTCCCAGTCTGATGAGTTGGTCTTTACTTGATTAGTTGGAATAACAGGAGGAAGAACCCGGATTATTTTTAATATCGTCTGATCCTTGCTTGTGTCATGCCAAACAGAAGCAGAACAGCAGCTTGTTGAAGAAAAAGCAGGTGCAGCAATTGTAGATCCAACACTAATCTGATAGTTGTCCACAAGTGCAAAATTTGGACCGGAAAAGATGTGGACTCCACCCCGGATAAAAGCAATGGCAATTTCACCACCATGAGAAGAGTATACAATCCGCGCAAGTGTCCTAATATCACTTGGAAGATCAAAAGGATCAAAATTGACCCCTTTTGACTTATCAAAACTAGAGTCAGATACCTTTTGCCCATCAATGTCCATTCCAACAGCAGATGCTTGATGATTCTTGAAATCATTTGTTGGTGGAATGCTCATGTCAACTTTGGTCTGCCAAACAGTTTGCATAGGAGGCTGTCCACCCATACTCGAAGTAGGATTCCCAAATATTGGATGGAGGACAACATGCTGTAAGGATGATTCCCAGCGTTGCACTCTCCACCCTGAGATTGATGGGCCCTCATCTGGATCATAAGGGGACATGTACTGTCCTATAATATAAAGTTAAGATAAATTAAATAGTTATAAATCAATTTCCTATCTCAATCATCAGAGCACAAGAAACCTGTGGCATAAAATTCTATCAAGCATGAATCACAGCTAGCATTGTCACAAAATCTAGAGATTTAGAGATGGCTAGATAAATACATGGGTAAGATCAAGTCAGGATCAGGTCCATACCCTCTACTATCACAACAGCTATCACAGAACCGCCACAAGTTGGATCAAAGGCTACTGCTGTTACACCAGAACCCCATGTAGTGGTTGCTGCAGATTGAGCTGCAGCTTCAGGACTCACATATGCTGAAAAATTTGAAACTGGAGAGCAGTGAAGTGGTATAGAATCATCAAGAATTTGGCTTGTCTGGTTTTCCCCTTGCTTTTCTTCAGATAATAGATATTCTTGCCAACTAAATAAATAAGCAGCTAAAGGTGCAAAACCAGTCCAGTTGGGTGGGCTAAGAGGAGGTGGGACACCATTATTGGTACTAGTTTTTGGAGTTACTTGGAAACCATTACCAGGCCCAGGCATAACCTCCCAAACAACAATGGTGGATGGATTAACAATTGGCACACCTGCCACATGCATGGCACCACTGTCTGTAATGATAGCATCACCAGCCATAATGCCACTGGGTCCACAACCCAGTAGTCCTTTACTAGTGCAAAACCATTTGGGTGGTGTTCCATTCTGAGGAGGCCACTGGGACCAATGAAGTTGAACTGAGCCTGATGAGAACACAGAACAGACACAAAGAAAATTGGGCCATCTAGCTGAAATCAAAACAACTGTGTCAAACACACAAGCATATGGAAATTTTAATATATAGATCTGAACTAGAAAATAAAATGAACATTTATAATGATATACTAAACAACTAAATGAGCAATCAAATAAAGAGAGGAAAAACACAATTCTAATTTCTGGCATTGCCATGGTTATGACCACCACCACCATCATCAACAGGCAAATTGTGTTAGTATAAGCCTAAGAAGAATCAAAGACACAGGACATGATGCAGGCATAGACACAAAATTTGGAAAGTGTCCCCCTAGGATTACAAGTGTCATCATGACATGAGTGTCTTAAACAGCACAGCTTTTTTAGAAGAATCTGAGCTTGATAGGATCAGCCAGCCACTAAGATGGTTGAGTATCATAATTGAAAGACATAATCAATCAAAACTGAAAAGAAGATTGTTGAATTTGAGTTTTAAGCCTAACTCAATCCCAAAAGCTAACTTGTAAGATAAGGATTGTTTTAGCCTTTATAAGCTCTTATTTAGTCATATCTATATTCGATGTGGAACTTCAACATACCCCCTCAGGCTCAAGATTGGACATCTAGAGCATGAAAATCGTAGAATTTTATTTTTTTTCCCCCTAATTTAGCATTGGATAAGCCCATGGACCAAGTAAGTAGCACTAGGAAAGTCACAGGACTAGGTAAGTTGCACTAGGAAATCCACATAGGCAAGGGTGGCTCAATATCACCTACAAAAGACTTTGATACCACGTTGAATACGGGTTTTAAGGCTAACTCAACCCCAAAAGCTAGCTCGTAAGGTAAGGATTGTTTTAGCCTTTATAAGCTCTTAAAGATTAAGTCTAGCATTAGATCTTGTATTGTCCATCTTCATGAGGACACTATCATCAAAATCAGAAAAGGAATATGGAAATTTTTCATAACTTTATGAAAGGCAGTGGAAAGATAAGAAGAGAAATCAGTAGGCCAACATCCTTGAGTGAAATGGAATAATGCACAATGATCAATGAAATTTTAAAGAGTAGCCATACAACACCCAAATCCTAACACACAATATATATAAACACACAGGTCCCTCCTCTTTCACCAACTATTCTCCATGAAAATTACAGTGAGAGAACATATGGATGAATGTGTGTTTCAACTATATAACGGAGCATATATTTATATTGATAATAGCAAAAATTACAGAATATTCAATTACCTAATTAACATAATTACAAAGATAAATTTGCCTAATTACAGTAATTATATATATTTAACACTCGCTCTTAAGCTGAAGCATATACATTATACTTAATGTATATAACAGATACAAGAACCTCTCAATGATTTGGTGAAGACATCTATCAATTGATTATTCGAATTGACAAAACTAATAATGATGTCTCCGAATAGGATTTTCTCCCAAATGAAGTAACAATCTATCTTAATATATTTTATTCTTTCATAGAACACTGGATTTGAGGGAATATGCAGGACTGCCTAATTATTGCAAATGATTGTCATTTTCATAATCTCTCCACTCAGTTTTGAACAGTTGTTTTAACTAGATAAGTTTACATGTAACTAGGTCATGGTTAGATATTCTGCTTCTACACTTGAATGAGCAACTACACTTTGTTTCTTATTCTTCCATGAAATCAAATTACCACTAATAAGAATGCAATTCAGAAGTGGATTTCTTATTGGTAGAGGCGCATGTCCAATCTGCATCAAAGTAACTGTCAATTTGAGTGTGACTCTTATCTTCATACAAGAGTCATTTTTTTGGAGCTCCTTTAATATATTTTAAAATGCGAATTATCATATCTCATTATCGGTCACAACAGAAGTTAAGAAACTAACTACCACACTAACTACAAAAGAGATATTTGGACAAGTGACAATGAGATAATTTAACTTCCCAACAAGCCTCCTATACTTCTCCAGATTAGAAAGAAGCTCCCTTGACTTGGCAGAATTTTGGGATTAGGATCCATAAAAGTGTCTATAGGCTTAGCACCTATCAATCTAGCTTCCACTAAATTATCCAATGCATATATCCTCCAAGAAATTACAGTGTCATTATTAGTTGTGTCATCTCTATTCTCAAGAAGTATCCAAGTTTATCAAGATCTTTTGTCTAAAAGTGGTGACATATATGTTGTTTTATTTGTGTAATACCATGGTGATTGCTACCAATAATAAACAATCAAATAAATGCATCCTAAGGCAGAATGGTGATAGAAAATTGAGTGATCAACTTCACTACGAGTAATTCCAAATTCTTGGACTGTAGTATTGAAGCAACTAAACCACACCTTAGGAGATTGTTTAAATCCATACAAAGATTTTCGCAAACGACAAACTAATCTGAAAGACTTCCCCTAAGCAAAAAAAATCTAGGAGGTTGGTCCATATATACTTTTTTCACCATAAAAAAAAGACATTCTTGATATCTAGCTAGTAAAATGGTCAATGATGGATTGTAGCCATGAACAAAAGTAAGCAAATATAAGCCATTTTAGCAACCAAAGAGAATGTATCACCATAATCTAAACCAAAGACTTGGGTATAGCTTTTGGCTATTAAGGCCAACCTTTACAGTGTAAATCTATCTACATCCAATAATAGACTTCTCCGAAAGAAAAGGAATAAGGTCCCAAGTACCACTGCTTTGAAATGCACGCATCTCATTGGTCACAGTCTGTAGACAACCAGAATGAGATAGAGTATAACTGATATTTTAGGAAAGGAAGTAGAAGACAACAAAGAAAAACAAGTATAATGGGAAGGGAGACAAACGATAATATGTTAAAACAATATAATGAGGAGAGAGATTACAAGTGAAGCATATACCTCTCCAAAGAGCAATAGAAAATAAAACTCAAGAGGCAAGACCCAAGGAGGCAAAGGAGTTGGTGCTGAAGGTAAGTCAAAAGGATCACTACCTAGTGGCGGCGAAGAGAATGTGTGGTTCTATTTGTAGTATACCTACAAAGGACGCTGAAGGAGACTATCTAAGAGAGATGGCGTCTTTGGTGAAATAACAAGAATAAGAGAAAGAGACGAGGGAAGTGCGACAGACTTAGATTTAGAAGGTGAAGGAAAAGGAGAATAACCAGAAAAAGGTAACATCATTTGAAATAAGATAATGATTAAGAGTAGGAGAGTAATGCTTATAACATTTTTGAGATTGAATGTAACTAAGAAAGATACATATGTGACCACGAGCAGAGAGCTTGTCAATTCTTAGACTAAGTCTATGAACAAAATAAGTGGATCCAACGACACAAAGAGGGAGAGGATGTATAGACTGATAGAGAAACAAGATAGAGTGTGGTACTTGGTTGTTAAGGACAGAAGAAGGCATCTAATGAATAAGGTAGCATGCTGTAAGGACAATGTCACCCCAAAATGATGAAGAATATTAGCATGAAAAAGAAAAATATGAATAGTTTCAATAAGGTATCTATTTTTTTCTTTCATCAAGTTTATTTTGTTAAGGAGTATGAGCACAAGAAATTTGATAAAAAATGTCATTAGAAGCCATAAAATGTTGAAAAGTGTGAGACATATTTATAAGCATTATTACTATGCAAGGTGTGAATAGGAACATCAAATTGATTAATTGCATGGTAAAAATATATAAATATAGAAAATAACTCTGATTTTTCATTATATAAAATAAATGCAACGAGAATAAAATAAAGGTAACAAAACACCTAAAACCTAATGTAGACATAGTATGACTTAGACCCTAAACATTAAAATGAACCAAACTAAAAGGAGACAAACTTCGACTATTAATACGACTAGGAAAGGAATTGCAAATATACTTGCCTAATTGACAAGATTCATAAGACAAAGTGGATAGCTTATAGAGACCTAATATCATTTGCTATAATTTTTTAATACTGAGATGACCTCACTAAGCATGAACTAGGAGAGGAGAGTCTACCACCAAACCAACATGAACAGAGGGATATAGATGATGAAGCCCTTGTAACTAAAATCTAGTACCAATCATTTGCCTTGAACTCCAATCCTGCAGAAAAATAGAGTCTTTAGTAAATGATACAACACAATAAAGAGATCGAGTTAGACTACTGATAGATAAAAAATTAAAGAGAGACCAAGGAACCTAAATAATGTTATTAATAAAAAGTGATGGAATGGGATGAACAACACTAAGACCCTAAGATTGTGTTTAAGACCCATTGGCCAGTAATTGATTATAAATAACTTCCAGATGTAGAAAGAGAAGAGAAAAGAGACTTGTTACTGATTATGTGATCAGTAGCCCCAAAAGCAAGGACCCATAAGGCAAGAAAAGGAGAATGAGAAATACCAATGAAGGGATTACTAGCGTGCGCAACAGAGGCAATAGAACTAGAGGCCTAACACTCCTTATCCCATTGAAGGAAGTAACTGTAAGTGGGAGGAGGAGAAAAAGTTAAGGGCATAATTGGAGCCGTATACTTAGAAGGAGCAAATAAGCTGCATGGGCCATGGGACAGCACAGAAAGCACAGAAGCAAGACAAACCAGCATGCTCAGGGTAAAAAATACCAACCAACGACTATAGGAAGTAAAAACAAGCAAACCAACCATAAATATGGAAGGAAAAGGGAATGGTGATGCCATCAGTTCTGACGGCAATCGGAGAAATAGTGTTACGTACCACCACGCAGGCAGTAGTGGCAGCTGGACAAATTTGACACACTGGTTTTGCAGCGCACGAGGGCGTGTCAAATCACCAATCCACGTAGGTCCAACTACGTTAGATTGCGCACGACGAGATGGTTCATATCATGTCATCTTCAGTCGAAAAGTCTCCAAACAGTGCAACAAGTTGCCAGAACAATGCAAAAATTCATCAGAACAATATATCGGGTGGTGAACAGTAGCAAAGAAGACCAGAAAGATGAAGACGGTTATCCATGGGCAGTGGGCCCAACGAAGATGTACAGATTAAAGTTAGTCTCTGTTAGACTCTAAATAACATGTTGAAAGAGAAAAAAATGAGAGAACATGTGGATGAATCTAAGTGTTTCAAGTAAAGGAGCATATATTTATATTGATAATAGCAATAATTACAGAATATTTAGTTACCTAATTAAAATAATTACAAATATAAACTTTCCTTATTACTATAATTACATGTATTTAACAAATTGCACCAAGGATGATACAAATTGCACCAAAGAACAAAAAGAATTAAAAACATATTGCCATAAATGATATAAAACAGTATAAATGGTAGCATTTCTTCCGGATATTACTTTACCACTACAGTGAATAATTTACTGAAAAACTGGCAATCATAATAGCGGATACAAAAAGAATTGACCTGATGTTTGGCATTGTCGTGAAAGAAACTTTTCTTCAAATGTTGACCTTGAACTGGAAGGAGCACTTGGTTTAGATGAAAGCCACCTATACTGATTTGTTCAAATAAACAATTATTTGGTTTTAAACAACATGAGATTGAACTATACATGATCCGTGTGAGTGTGCATTCTTGCTACAGTTAGTTTGGAGAGAAAACCTTTCTCTTTGTATATTTGTTAACAACTAAAAGATCCTGCAAATCGAGGGCTACCTATTTGCTTAAAAAATTGTCTCCCCAAACAAAGCTTCCTTTCTCTAAAAAAATGCTCCCCTTCAATTTCTTTCTCTTTCTCTCTAATATCATTCCAAAAATTACTCTTTCTGTAAACAACTTCTAAAGAATAATATTTACAGTAGAATTTTTTAGGCAGAATTGCTTAGAAAGATCTTTAGAGGTTTTCCTTTTCTGGAATTAGGTTAGGCCTTAACCCATATTTATGAATAAGAATTGCTCAAAAACAATGCACCAAAAATTTGAACATCACAAAGAGAAGTTAACTTGATACCAGGGACACCCCTGATAGCCACTTTGTAACAACTGCAATGTCTTGCTGCCACTCATGCTGTCGCTGCCAACAGCTAGTATCAAGTACAAGATTAGCTGGGCCCTGAATGAACAAGAAATCAGTAATGAATAAACAAGAAAAGCACATCCGAATAAAGAGAAGGTTAAAGGTGTGCAAAAGTTTAACCCACTGGAGACACAAGTGCTAATTCAATTACATTAACTTCTTTGTAAGGCTAGGCTAATACATAGCTAAAGCTCCCATTTTGGGACTTAGAAAAACAAACCTCAATAATAAAGGAAATTTAGGGCAAGTTTTAGCATCATGTTTTCTTTTACAGGCAAACAGAAAACTTAGTAATTAAATCTATGGCCATATAAAAACCTACAATAGATTTCTTGCAATTATGTAATAGCAGTTAAATCTATGGCCACGTGAAAACTTACAACATAGTATTTTTAACTATGCTAAATAACCAATTTATGCAAGAAACTGTATCCATTTAAGTAACTCACTTACTTGAGATGATTGAGTCCAAATAGTTACTCTCCCATGGAAATTTGCTATCAATAATGCACGGGGACAACAGGTGGGGGACCATTCAATAAACTGGACTGAATCACGAGGGGAATCTGTTAAGGCATACAATGCAACTGATCAAATTTTGAAATTTTTGTATACACACATACCTATATAGCAAAGCAGTTTAGTTCAGAAACTAAAAGCCCAGGGGGTAAAAAGACAAGGACATCAAAATGTTATTTCCATATGATGAGAAGTCCATCAAACAAAAGAAAGCAAACATTTCCATATTTGAGTGCGAGAAGAAATTTACAGATGAGCTAAGTCCATCAAAAACAAAAGATGCCCACTTTTATGTCAATTTCAGGCCAGTATAAGTGAATTTTATATTACCTAACCCATAATTATCTTATGTAGACACTCAGACTCAGGGATTTAGCAGAACCTTTATAGTGGTAATAGGATAGGAAACCACCAATTACTAAGGTGTATATTAGCAAGGATCACAGAGGATGCTGGCCTTTGAATATATCAGATTGCAGAAAAGGTAATCAAGGGGATTGGGATACTAGTAACAGACTTCCAGGAGGCAATCAAGGAAGAGTGCTTCTGTTTCATCTGTTTCTGTATTACCTTTCATTCTACATACGATCACAGGTTCTGATAGCACACTGATATCAGTATTCACAGAAGAATAATACAGAGGCTTTATTAAATTTGAGTGTGTTTGATTGTGTTACTATCATAATGATATTGAAAAAGACAAACACCTAACTTTAATGTTATTTAGCCAATTTTGGCATTCCTGCCCAGTGAAAAATCAGATCAGACAACAACACCAGAACAATAATACTGTAACATCGTTGGTTATAGAAGAAAGCAATGACATCAAAATACCTGCAATGACATTGAATACTGCACATTCAGTTGGCCTCTCTGGGATCACAATATGTATAGGGATCCAAAATGGTGGATTTGTGGTTGAGCTTTGAAAAAAATAAACCGTAATAACCATTACAAAATTGTCAAGAAATACAAACATACAAGGGTGTCAGCAAGCCAAAGTAATTGGTAAACACAGTTAAGCAGGGTTAGACATCATATGTCATTGTTTATCTATATAATTTAATAATGTTAGAATGCAATTAGTCATTAGCGTTTATAGAAAATTAACAGTTACATATTCTAGGAAATTAGAATGATGGATTCCTAATTATTAGATAGAAATTAATTGTATTTAATTCTATAAATTAGTATAAATTTATACTATGTGGGCTGCATTAGACACACAATACATTCAACAAATATACTTTTCTATATGGTATCAGTAGTTTAGGTTTTTCAATCTGTAGTAGTTTTTTTATTTATTTTTGGGTGAATAGTACCTACGGCCACTGTGCCATTTTCCTCCTTCACCGAGCATCCCTTTTCTCTGGTGAGCACTACAACCAGAACTGCCTTCTCCTAGCGATCACCAAGCTTCGTTCGCCGCTCCGATCCGCCGCCGCAGGCACCCACATATGGCTTCTTTCCAGTGTGTGCGTTACACACGCTTGTATCAGACTGTAGGTTTTTCCACTTTCCGACACGATCCACTTGCCAGCATGCCCTCACACCCAGGCACCCCTTTTTAGCCCTATTTCAGATTTATTTCCCATGACTTTTGACAACTCACACTCAAATACCGCCTCTGTAGTGACTTTTACCACTGTTCCACTGATTCCATGTGAAAAACAGACCGGGACGAGTAACTATAACTCTTGAGCTGCTGCTGTCCAGCTATGGTTTCAGGGTCAAGGTCGTGACGACTACTTGACCAAACAGGCCAACGATATTCTCAGCAATGATCAAGCCCGATGGAAGCAAATTGATGCTTCTTTGTGTGGTGTTCTCTGGTTCTCCATTGATGCCAAATTGCAGCCTCAATAACAAGCCTTTACTACCTGTTATGATGTCTGGAACAAAGCTAAGAAAGTAAACTCCAATGATTTTCATCGCCTTTACAATGTTGTCTCCAACCTTATTTCTATGAAGTTGAAAAATCATGATATACAGACCTATCTTGGTAAGTTCGATCGCTTAATTGCTAATTTTGATGCACTCATGCCTTGCACTAATGATGCAGACAAACATGTTAAACAACATGGAAAGTTTTTTATGGTTCTTGCACTTGTTGGACTTCCTCCTGAGTTTGACTCTGTCCGCAATCAAATATTATTAGGCACTGTTGTTCTATAATTAGTGAACAATTACTTCGCCTCTCAATTCCTCACATGTTTGGGCATTCTCCTGTATCTCCTACCAATTTATCTGCCTTTACTCCCACTCTTCTTACTGGGGTGGACGAAGTGGAATTCGTAGTGGCTATCGTGGTCAATGCCGTTGTTGCAATTTTTGTCAACAGTATGGCTATACTGAGGCAAAATGTTGTACAAAGGCTCGAAAACAACCCAAGATAGCTAATATTGCTCAGGTCATTTCTCCAAAAGCATTTGATGAGGTTTCAATTTCAGCAGATACCTACAATGAATTTCTCCAATATAAGGCAGCCATGCAGCATACCCAATCTGTCGCCGCCATTGCTCAATCTGGTAATCTTGTAGCTTTTGTTTCTCAGTCCTTCCCCCATTGGACCTTGGATTCTTGACTTCAGTGCCTCTGATCATATGTCTGGTAACAAGTCACTTTTCTCTCATCTATCTTATTTAGATTCTTTACCTTCTGTTACCATGGCAGATGACTCTCAAATAAAAGTTCATGGCATTGGTCAAACACGACTCTCTTCTAATCTTACTCTAGATTTTGTGCTTTATATCTCTAGGTGTCCTTTTAATTTAATCTCTATAAGCAAGCTCACTCACACCCAAAATTACTCTATCCTTTTTGTTAATAATTTTGTTCTTGTTCAAGATCGGCATACCGGACAAATGATTAGAGCAGGACATGAGTCTCGAGGATTATACTATCTGTCACAATCTGTTACTTGTATCTCCATTGCGTCTCCAGCTCTTGAGCATCAACGCTTAGGTCATCCTAATATTACCAAAATGCGTCTAATGGTTTCAAGTTTTTCTTAACAGTTCGTCTTTTCAATGCGAGTCTTGTCAGTTAGGAAAACACACTCGTCATACCTATGGTCCTCGAGTTTGTAAAAGTGCTTTGTCACCTTTTGCCTTGATTCATTCAAATATTTGGAGTCTTAGTCGTGTCAGTTCAACTTTGAATTTTTATTACTTCGTTACTTTCATTGACGATTTTTCTCGATATACTTAGTTATTCTTAATGAAAAATCGTTCTGATGTTTTTTCTATATTCCAAGGTTTCTTGATTGAAATTGAAAATCAATTTAGCACATCTATTGAAATTTTACGCACTGACAATGTTCATGAATATATGTCTTTCCAATTTTAATATTTTTTGAGTTCATAGGATATTTTTCATCAAACATCTTGCTCTCACACACCACAACAGACTGGTATCATTAAACAAAAGAATCGGCACTTAGTTAAGATTGCCCGTACTCTTCTTCACCACAATGTTCCTCTTCGCTTTTGGGGAGATGTCATTCTCAAAGCATGTTATCTGATCAACCACATGCCCTCCTCCATCCTTAATAATTAGGTTTCTCACTCTCTCCTATATCCAACACAAGATCTTTACTCCATCCCTCTTCATGTCTTTGGTTGCACATGCTTTGTTTATGACCTTATTTTAGGTAAAGATAAACTTTCTGTCAAATCTCTCAAGTGTATTTTTCTTGGTTACTCATACCTTCAGAAGGGCTATCGTTGTTTTTGTCTTCAATTTCGATATATTGTTTCTGCTGATGTCACCTTTTTCCAGACTAATCCTTTTTCCACTTCTATTGTATTGGATGCCAATTTTGCAATAGACTCTTTAGAAGTCTCATGCACTCATCCTGTTATGGCTCAAGTAATTGCTTTTCCTCCACCTATATTGCTTCAATACCATAGATGGTCTCAAAATCCGATTACGACTCACTCCACTGATCCTCAAGCATCATATCCTGTTCCAACCACCTCTCCACCCACGCTTCCTACACCTAAACTTTCTATTGCAATACGAAAAGGTATTCGTTCTTCTCATAATCCTAACCTCCCTATACTTTTACAATTAATTATGATCATTTGTATCCATCCTATTTCTCCTTTGTTTCTTCTTTGGATTCTGTATCTATTCCTAAGACTACAGGTGAAGTCATGGCTGATCCCAGATGGCACCAAGCAATGGTAGAGGAGATGGCAGCCTTAGATTCCAGTGGCACTTGAGAACTTGCTCCTTTACCTTCTGGCAAGACAATTGTTGGCTGTTGTTGGGCTTATACAATAAAAATTGGAACTTTTCTTCATCTCTTTCTGGCTATAGCTGCTATTCGTCATTGGCTTCTTCTTCAGCTAGATATTAAAAATGCCTTCTTACATGGTGAATTGCAGGAAGAAGTTTACATGGATTAACCCCCTAGTTTTATGGCACCTGGTGACTCTGGTCTTGTTTGTAAGCTTCATTGGTCTCTCTATGGTTTGAAGCAATCTCTTCGGACATGGTTGGGTCATTTCAATTCTGCCTTGATACAATTTGGCATGACTAGGTGTAAGATTGATCATTCTGTCTTATTTCATTCTTCTTTTGGTAAGTGCATTTATCTTATTGTTTATGTTAACAACATTGTCATCACTGGTGATGATGCGATTGAAATTCAATAACTCAAAGAGCACCTTTCACAGCAATTTCATACTAAAGATTTGTGTCCTCTCAAATATTTCTTAGGCATTGAAGTTGTCCAATCTTCTTCTGACATTGTTATTAATCAACGTAAGTATGCTATGAATATTCTTACTGAAACTGGTATGCTTGACTATCGTCCATGTGATACTCCTATGGATTCCAATATCAAGCTTTTTTTGGATCAGGAGGAGTCATTGAAAGACGCGGAAAGATATCGCCTGGTAGGCAGACTCAGCTATCTCACCATCACTAGACCCGACATCACTTTCGCGGTTAGTGTGGTAAGCCAGTTTTTAAATGTCCCTTGTGATAGCCATTGGAATGTTGTGACACATTCTTTGATACATAAAAAATGTTCCCGAACAAGGATTGTTGTATGAAGACAAAGGCAATACTAAGATCACTTGTTATTCTGAGGCAGATTAGGCAGGATCACCATCAAATAGAAGATACACTTCTAGGCACTGTGTTCTTATTGAAGGAAACTTGATCTCATGGAGAAGTAAGAAGCAAAACATAGTTGTTAGATTCAGTGCAGAAACAGAATATCATGCTATTGCAGCAACCACTTATAAGCTTACGTGGCTTAAGCAACTATTACTACAACTAAAAATAGGGAACATACATGAAACAAAACTTATTTGCGACAATCAAGTTGTACTTCACATTGCATCAAACCCAGTCTTCCATGAAAGAACCAAACACATAAAGATTGATTGTCACTTTATGAGAGAAAAGGTGCTCTATGGAGAAATTACTACTGATTTTGTCAATTCTAGCGATCAGCTGACTAACATATTCACCAAATCCCTTAGAGACCCTCAGATTGAGTACATTTGTAACAAGCTTGGTGCATATAACATATATGCTCCAGTTCGAGGGGGAGTATTAGAATGTAATTAGTCATTAGCCGTTGCAGATTTATAGGAAATTAACAGTTACATATTCTAGGAAATTAGGATGATTGATTTCTGATTATTAGGTAGAAATTAATTGTATTTAATTCTATAAATTAGTATAAATTTAGACTGTGTGGGCTTCATTAGACACACAACACATTTAACAAATATACTTTTCTATAAATAATTTGAACAAATATTAAAATAGCATTCAATAAATGATACAAGCTTTGGACATCATTAAGCTCAACTTATTTAGCATGTGAACAAGTCTGTTTGCCATAAGCCATGTCCATTCAAATTTGCTTGTGGATCTGTCAAACAAATGAATACACCTATAAAATCCATATAATATTGATATTGATCAAAAGTTCTGGGTACAGCCTATCTTTTAACACTTTGTTTATGAACCTTTTACAATATTACTAGACAATAAAAACCAAGCAGAACAAAACATGAAGTTGATTGACAAATTCATTTGCCAACAAATGAGAAAAGTGGTTAAGAGAAAAATATTATGTAAACCAATCAAGATAACTGGGAAGTTCGAAACATTAATCAATCAAATATTCTTGAATTTATCCATATATTCTAAAATGCAATGGACCCGCAAAACAATCTAATCAGTTTTTTGGCTCTTAAATTTTCAATCAGCTATCCAAACCAAAAGTTTTATTTTTGACAAATTTTAGCTTATTGTCAAACATTTAGGCAGGAAACATAAACAAACAGATAAAAACACACTAACCTCGGAATTCTTGCACATGTTTCAGAAGCACAAGCTATAGCATTCAATTTTCCACACCAGGAAACAGCACTGACAAAAATAAATAAGTAAATATATATATATATATATATATATATATATATATATATATAAGTTCTTTTAAAAATTAGCAGCACTAGAAGTAGTATACCATGAAAGGCCTACAATAGTACACAAATAAATTCACTTTACACAGTTCTCAGAAGATCAATGATACATATAGTATCAAAGGGACCTGTAGAGCAAGAATATATCAAGAAGAAAGAATAGTATTAAGATGTCTCACATTGGTTAGGAATAGAGCCAGAATACTAAAGGTTAGGGTAGTCTTCCTCTTATAAGCTAGCTTTTGGGAGTGAGTTATGCCCAAATTTTTTAACAAATAGAAAAGGGTAAAGAATGAAGGAATTATGAGAGTGAGGACTGACTAAACCAGCAGTCCACCACATTATGAAGAACATCTAAGGAAGCTAACAACCTACATAATTAAGGACTAATATGATGACTACTCCATATGTGAGGTCATTGCATCAGCCCATTCTTATGCTTTTTCTATCATTTTCTGTTCAAATTTAGTTTTAGTCTCTTTATATTGTCTAAAATATAAGGAGCTAATTTTTTTTCTCCATATCAATATATGCTTGAAAAATCTTCGTCTCTCTCTTAAATATTTATATATGGAGTAATCATCATATTAGTCCTAAATTGTGTAGGTCAGCTTCCTTGGATGTTCTTCATAATGTCTCTCCCTTAAATATTTATATATGGAGTAATCATCATATTTGTCCTTAATTATGTAGGTTGTTAGCTTTCCTTGGATGTTCTTCATAATGTAGATATATATATATATATATTATTTATTGGAAAATTTAATAAAATACTCTCAATCTACATTTTCAAGGAAAACTATAATGTACATTTTATATTTTTCCAAGATTTCTCAGCCCAAAACATTGATACCTTCTCTTTATTTTTCAAGAATATGATTTTATTAAAAGGAAAACAAAGCATTGAGTCAGCATCCTCCAAAATAAGTATACCAAACTAAAAGGTTAAAGGTTATACATATGAGAACATAATCCAAAAGACATAAAAGAATATTTTAACCAAAGAAAAGTGATCAAAGGAAAAGCAAACATGAAGCATTATTAGAAACCTCTTCTGCACTTACTAGATTTTATTTATCTTTTTTCCCATCAAAATAAAATATTTTGGACTATTGACACTTCTGGTGTGTTTTGTTGTAAATTCTATTTACAGTTTTAACTGGGTTCTCTTAATTAGGAGCACTCTCTTCTTGACAAGCCTTTCTAGTAGTCAAATGCTTCCTCTAGGTCAATTTCTCTATTTGGACATAAACACTTCATAGAATTAATACTAATGTGATACTACAGATATGCAGACCGCACACCAACACTGGCACAGCTATACCACCTAATGTTAATGTGTTGTGTCTAGGGATGGTTTAGAAATAGATGGATTTATTTTTCATTGTCAAGAAGATAATTTCATATGGAACAATCTCTTCAGAGTTTTCTTGACTATTATGTGTGTCCTGCCAATTTGGAGAAGTATCTTGTGATCCATACCAATAACTTCAGCAAGAATAAGGATGATAGAAATTTGTAGCAATTTGCACTTAATGCTGTTCTCTGGTGTATTTGGTTGCAGTGAAATGTCTGCACTTTCAAGTTTCAAGGGCATCGCTTTCCTGTACATGTGTTATGGCATGGTACAGGATTTATTCTGTGGTTTCTTTGTAGCACGTGGTCTTTTGAGACACTCTTTTCAGCAAATATGTTTCATTGATATGCAAAGAGATTGGACAGCTATTATGTATTAATGCATCATTTATTTGGCCTTTTTGTTTAAGGAAGCTATCTTATCCTCCTTTTCCTGTGTAGCCCTTTCCTTTTAATAAATTATCTTCTTGCAGCAACCACAAAATACAAATCATAAACAAGTGAATTTTACAGTTACCTTAAGCCCAGGGCTCAAGCAATCCCCCAACCACTTCCTGAAGACTGTTTGGAAGCATAATTTCCCAGAATAGACCACAGCAAATACAAATTTGAACTTGAATTTAAATCAACATAATTCAATTGACTAATGAAAGTTAATAATTAACTTTCTCCTTTCCTATACTCTTAGAAGACATGCTGGAACCATGAGGTATACTATCATTTTCTTCCTACTCTTCACCAGCAGCTTCTTTCCTATTACATAACTTTACAAGAAGGAAATTCATTTATGGTTCCTATCCTCCAAAATACCATATATTTTGGACCGTACCACAATCCAAGTGCAACAAATCATCCATCCCTGACACAAGAATCTCAAGCATAAACGTCCCTTGATCCTGGATACATTGAGCTTGGATCTGGGATCTGAATCCCAGATTATGCAAGTGGCCTAAATCAAGAAACATGTATCTGTTTCAAGAAACAGTTAATCCATGTGGCCTAAATGTCCCTCAGTTTTCAACTGCACATAATTCACTGCAATACTTTAGATCATCGCATGCCTTGGCTGAATTGAGTGCCCAAGTAATATGCCAGATTCACTGTTTATAATAGCTTAATTCCTTCAAAACTTCAGCTGCTAAATCTATCCATATTATGCTTACAGCTATCTTAGTTGAAACCGAATGATTTAACTAAGAAAGCACTAATGTGTTGCACCTTTACCATGCAGCGAATAAAAAATCAGAGGTGCTAGGAGATGAGTTCGTACCATTGACAAATTCATACATGTTTTTCATCTATAATGCCATAGTCATGGTTGTGGTCCAACTGTGATAATTGCGACCACAAGAACTGGTGAAACCAACAACAAAGTTCATTCGGGTGAATATAGTAGATATTGAAAGGATCTTGGGTCGAACTTGAATTCACCATAGCAAAATAAGAAGGAAGGTGATAAGAGAGAACAAGAAGAATACGAAGGAAGGTGATGAGAAAGTTTGCTAATCTGATACCAAAATATGACAGAAAAGCATCAGAAGTTACCTGATATGGGGAAAAGTAAAAACATTGCAAATTCTTACAACAGATATGGTTATCCCAAGTTCAATGGCACAAAAGATGAAAGGTAGCTATTTCAACATAATGAGAGTCCAAGAGAGTTTACTACTCAAACACAAAGCTCAACACTTATAGGGCAAAACTCAACAAATGCATGAAATGAGTGAAATTTCAGGCACTGTAGTGAAGAGATACCTGAAATTGCGACAAATTTCTGGAACACTCATCTTGTGAAGCAAATTGGACTTAGGTTGTCTAAGCCTAATGCAAAAAACGGTGGAGGGGGTGACTGAATCATGCTCCATTGGATCCTCAACCACTTCTTCCCCACTCACAGCTTCATTCTTGTTCTTCTGGGAACCCCCTTCTTCTGGGTCCTTTGTAACAGCAATTTGATTCATACCCAAAAGAAAAAAGCGTGATTTTTATTCACCAAAGAAGCGGGTGCAAGTGGCGGAAAGTTACAATTTGAGGGCGACAGATGAAGAGAAAGAAAAAAGAGGGATTAGTCTAATATTTATATTATTAAAAGAGTGGTTTGGATTGGTGCGGTGGTGGTGGACAAAGCAAAGGGAATTAAGCATGTTATGTATGATTCCATTCCAGGCAACTTTCTTTCTTTCTTTTTGATTGTGATTTTTTACAGAAGAATACAAGTTGGTTGAATTCAGTGTATTTGGTTTTACCAGTGACTGTGTTGGTTTTACAAAGAAAAATGTCGTCGGCAGAGACACGTGTCACTCTCTCTCACACACACACAACGCATCAAATCAATGAGTTTATTTCGATGAAATAAGGACTTTTGTCCTTTCCTTTCCCTTTCCCTCTCTACAAGTCATAACTAACTACCCTTCTTTTGTCTCTTTCACTCGTTCATCCTCTCATGTACATGAGAAAAGCAAATTCTTAGTGTTACCTCACGTACACGTTATTTTATTTTTTTACGGAAAAAAAATCTTGGAACTATTATACAAAAGCAGGACAACAAGTCCAAGTGGAAAATATTATAAATAATGAGCCCGGAATGGTGAGGCCCATTTGTGTTAGTGCATGCAGCTGCATAGTTCTCTGATCTTTTCACATGTGATATAGAGATACAATTAAAAGAGGCGACTAAGGCTATACAATTTTCAATAATTAAACTAAAATAATTTTTTTAGAGGTTTCCTTGTGTTCAAGGTTTTAGTAACCTGCAAAGAATCTGTTTTTAATACAACCTCTGAGCAGTTGAGGTCAATGGTTAATTGCAAGCTATTATGCAAGGCTGGGCTTCTGCCTCTTGTGGGCTTAGGGAGCGTTGGACCTTGGAGCAGGCTGATCCAATAATAGAACCTTGGCTGTCTCGTATGGTACAACCCACTGCATTTCCTTTTGCTAAGTGGCAGGCCCCATCGACATTAATTTTGGCGCGGCTGGTAGGTGGGGCTTGCCAAGCTTCATTACTCGGTTCATCTACCCGTTGGTGGGTCTGCGTGGCAACTCCATAGCCATCCAAAAGAAAATCGTGCCACGAGCTCAACCATTTAGTCAGAACTTCATCTTGCCCCTGGAGGCAGATGCAAAAGAGTCCTCGGCGATTCAGTTCAATTGCCATGATCGTGTTGCTAATCTAGTCCGAGAGAGCCTGATTTTGGGAGCAAATTGAACGAAGATTGAAAGGGGAGGAGAACCAGAGGCATTGTACCCTAGTCACACTCTGTAAGTAGCTTTTTACCCCAGCACTGCGAGCAAATTGCATGATTACTAATTCCTCTTTGCTGGAGATTTTTGTTGGTAGGGAGGGGTCCGTGGAGGGCTTGCCACATGAAATGCTTGGTTCGGGGTGGAACTCTTATCTTCCAAAGCATCTTCCAGATGGCAGTTTGATTTGGGTTGGTGGAGGTTTTCGGATTCTGTCCTCTGATTTCTCTTGCGCCAGTTAATAAGCACTTCGCATTTTGAAATCACCATCCTTTGTTGGTTGCCAAAAAAGTGTATCTGATTGGTTATTTGCAGGTCTGGGTAGAGCTAAGATTTGGGAAGCCTCAAAAGGGTAGAAAATTTGTTCAACTAGGCTCGCATTCCATCTCGTGCTGTCTGGGAGTAGCAGGTCACTAATCGTGGCTGAAGGCTTCACTACTGAACAGGGCTCCAAACCTTGAAACCACTCTGGTTTGGTAGCTAGGGATCTCCCAAATCCTTGTGGAGAGTCCTGTTCCAATCCTCCACACACTCTCCAGTTTAGTCACCCATTTTGGCTTTCCAAATGCTTGCCCAGGGGTAGCTTGGGTTATGACCACGATCAGAGTGTAGATAGGACTTTTTGTGGCAGTACTTTGGCCCAGTAATCTTGGCCACAAGCTCACGTACACGTTACACGTAGCATTATTTAAAATATTAAATTTTTTTAGAAATTTTTTAGTAAAAAAAATTTAGCATTAATTTTAAAGATGTATAAATTATTTTTATTATATTTTTTATCATGGTATAAATAAAAAATATAATAAAATTTATAAATTTAATAAATATATAAATAATATTAACATCGGTAGTTAATTCTTTAAATTTGTGTAAAGATAAAGAGATTTTAATGCTCTATAATATATTATAATCATGTATGCTAAAAAGAGTTCAATTTTAGTTTATTGTTAGTGTAAAAGTTATTAAACTATTAATCAATATATTGTAAAAATGAATTTAAAATTAATTAAAATAAAATTAATACATTTTGTTGATATAATAATTCATGATAAGATGACATTATTTCAATTGGTAGTTTATTTTATAAAAAATATATATACATAACACTATTTCTATAATTATAAAATTTATTTTTAATTTCTATTTTTAAAACTTACTTTTGGCCTTTTAATTTTTTAGCCTTTGTTTTAATATTTGTTTAAATTTTCAAAAATAGATTTATTATTATATGATGATAACATAACATGTATTTAATCCTATAAGTGGTGATAAAAATTATTTTTAAAATTGTCAAAACTTATAAATAAAAGGTTTAAAATACAAAACTTACATTAAAATTTAAATTTTTTTTATAAGATGTAGTATTAGGATTCGAAAAAAGAATAATTAAAAAGAATAGTAGTTATTATTATTTTTTCACTAAACTCTTATATTGGTCACTATAATAATAGGTTCATGAAAAAGTGTGAAATGAATGCTTAGCATGTGAATACTCTTTTTTTATTTTTTTTATCTGGTTTAATCTGTATCTGACTCGATCGAGTTATGCACTTAAATATGATAGATGAGTTTATTATTAAATATTTTTTTGCATGTACAGACACTTTAACCTAAAATTTTACTTAAGTGATACCGAGTTGTCTATCACTCAAACTAACCTTCAGTAATTCATTTTTGTTATTTTATTATATGTTACCAGTTTTAAAGTTTTGACGACTTCTTGATGGAAACGAAGCAAAGTAAATCAAGAGCGTAGAAAGGTTCGCATTCTTTAAAAAAAAGATTCAATTGATCCAAAAACAAATTACAAAAAGATTTACTAATGAGCTTAATTTGTCCTCATATGTTTTTTAGGAACATTGATGACAAATTTGTTAAATATATTGTAATTATTTATTTTTTAAAAGTGTTAAATTACTTTTTGCAAAATAATTAGTTTATGCAATTAGTTTTTTAATAAATTAACCTATAAAGATTTTATTAGATAAAATTAACTGAATGTTTATAATTTATAACTAATTGATTGAATTAGACTTGTTATTAAAATATGTCAATTGACTAAATAAAAATAACAAAAAATATTTTATGAGAATATAAATTATTTAAAAGTTAAGAGTTCAAATAAAAAATAAATAAAAGCTACTTCATAAGATAACTTGTATAAGTTATAAATTTATTTTAAAAAAGTTATAAGTTTTTTTTTATTTTTTGATTTACCAAACAGCTACTATTGAAAAAAAATATAAATTTACAAATGTAATTTTTTATATATATTACACGAGCTAAACAGCAAAAAAAGGACAAAAAAAAAAAAGACAAAACTAACTAAAAAAACTTGTTATACCCAACATCGTTGGCATCTGCTTTAATAAATGCAATAAAAAAAAATAGGAGCTGATTTCAAAAAATATGTACTCTAGATGAAAAAATATTTATTATATTAAAAATAAAAATAAATTTATTCTTTACTGATATGATCAGAGTATGTTTATAATTTCCCCTCGTTCTATATGACTGTGGGATTGGTAATCGGAGCTGACCTGAATATATGATGTGTTGGTGGGTAGACCTCAGCCCATCACTTTATTATAAAACGATTCTGGCGTGGCCGTGAAATATATGTGCTTTGAACCGTCGCAATGTTTCGTTAATTATAAATTACTCCCGTCACACGTTTTATAAGAAATGAAATGTATTTTTTTAAAAAAAATTATTATAAAAAATATAAAATAAATTTAAAATGTATTATTTGTTAAATTTATTTTATATTTTTATTTGATAAATATATATTTATGAAACAGTGATTATATAAGTACATTATTTAATATCATGAGTATTTTTAAAATAAATTTATATTTATAATGATTTAATTAATTTTTTTTGTCAAATGATTTAATTTTTTATTTCTCATGAGAAGGAGCGATGTACTTAATACTTTAAGATTTAAGCGCAAGCATGTTTAGACACACAAAATTTAATTAAGAAAGCCAGTGAAACGCATGAACTCTAATAATATAACAATTCCTGTGGGATGGTTTACTGATGAAGAAGACGAATGTGAATTATGCCCAATCATAATCTTGCCAAATCAATATCACTAGTTTACGACCCTTTTTTAAATTACTGATAAAATTTCAAATTCCCATGCCGATAATATTTCTTGGATAATATAAGATTTGAATTCTTTCTAGTTTGTTCAGAAACTAAACATACATTAAATTCTATTCTTATTTAAACAAATTTATATTCGCTTAGGTTAATTTAGTTAAACGAATTTTTACAAATAGCAATGAAACTTGGAGTGAAAAGGCACGATATGAAAGTGCGTTTTGGTCACAGACCCATCAAATCCATTAGACACCACAATGTCAAAGAGTGAATTGAACCTTCTCTTTGACTTTATCAAAGACAAAAACAACATGTATTTGATAAGCGACGAGATAAATAACGGCACCGTTTTTAGTTCCCCAGGCTTCATCAATGTCATGCAAATCCTCAAAGAAAGAAACGACAATGTATAAAGCACATAAAATCATATAATATTGAAACATAAGTTTTATTAATGGGTATTATGAATATTAATAATATCAGATGTGGTTGAGATCAAATGTGACTTTGTTTCCTCTAATCTCAGCCATGAAATCTACCAATGCTTTCTTTAAGGAAGGCAAGCCATTGTAGTCTTGAAAGAGAGCTAGTTCTCTAAATATGGATTTGCTATCTCGCTTGTTGAAGAAAGGCAAGCCAATTGAGCTTAATGGGTTTGTGACCAAAACGCCCTTGCGTGTGTTTGTCTCTTCACTCTTATGTTTTACGTGAAGATTCGCTTAAACAATAAAAGGAGTATTGTAAATATCATCTTTTTAAGACCTATTTTAAGTATTTAAAAATAATAATTTTTAAATAATATTTATTATTTTTAAATTATTAATATAATAAATATATTACTTTTATTAAAAAAATATATTGTTTTACTTTAATTTTAAAAGGCTGAAATTAACAATTTTTTCGTAAAATAGTTTTTTTAATAAGGCTTTTTCTTTTTGTTTGGGAAAGTACATTGTCAAGGAAGTCATCGGTGGTTAATGAATCAATTAGGTATTTAGGTTGATATTTAAACCAACCATTAGCATAGTAAACCTTTGGAAATGCCGACAACAGCCCACATATTCTTTTTTGGCTTTTGAAAATCACTTGTAGACGAAAACTTTCCACAATGAATAACACTTTTGAATGTGAGAATAAATTGAACAAAAGAAATAAAGTACAAAAAAATTATTTTTTAAATTATTTAGAATAATAAAATAAAAAATGTATCAATTTATTCAGTTAGATAAAAAATGAAATAAAACATAATTAAATTAAATTATTATTATACTCTTATAATTGAATAAAATTAATTAAAGTGTAGTGCTTTGTTATTATAATAAAATGATCTCATTATTATTATTTTATTTTCAAATTAGAGAGATTAATTCAACATAAATGCGCAATGCTTTCTTCCTCTCCATCCCTTCACCGTTCCAAATGCATGGACATTGTGAATTTAGGGTTAAAAAAGAGTTGTTATCTCTTATCTTCAATTCTCTCTTCCTAAAACAACGGTAAAAGGAAGAGATTTGATAGCAACGTGCATGTTATTTTCAGTGTTCATATGAACTACGCTCAATCTTATAGTCAAAGATAGGTTATATAGAAAATGCATACCATGTTGTATAGAATGTAAAATGCAAACCTTGTTTTGTAGAATAAAAATATTTCTCCACACGAAAGTAAAAAAAGTCATATGTTTGTTCTTTCTTTAGCTGGAACTTTATAATATGATGTTACGCTATCTAATTGGATTTTCTTCAAAGTGCATAGAATTGAAATCTGAAATTTCAAATGAAAAAGATTGGTGATGGACTGATGGTAATGCAAAATGCAAACGTACCAATAATGATAGCCGCCACAATTCAATGACACCCTAGAATATATATTTATATATTTATATTGTTTTAAACCAACACAACAGAAGAAAAGAATCAAATCAAATTAATTAAATTTATTCGATTTAATTTATATACATGAATTTGATTAAACTAAAGTAAGAAAACTTTTCATTTTCAGTATTAGTTTAGTTATTTGAAATTTAATGACTCGTTTCATGAACTAATAAATTTTAAACCCTTTATGTTGTTTTTTTCTACTTTTAATTATAGTATTTATTCAATAAAAAGGAATAAATATTCGAATTATTCAACTTGAACTTTGTTTTATTTGGATTCATGGTTCAATGTCTTTTTTTTTATTAAAAACATCCAAACTAATTAATTTGAACCTTTTTTTTTCTTTTACGAAAATTGTAGTCAATTTAACTCATTTTCAATTGGAATTATTCATTTTGGGTTGAAGTTAATAATTTTTTAAGTAATTTTTTATTAAGTCAAGTGCTAATTCCGTCTATTTGACTGAAATGAGTTAGTGAGTAATTAACCTCACTTTTTAACAAGAATTTCCACACACCCCCCCCCCCTAAGTTAATAGTAATTACGTATATTGGTACAAATTTTGTGAATATAAAGTTGGAATTACGTAATAGTAGTGTAAAGAAAATGGAAAAATTGAACTAAACACACTGATGAAATAAAAAAATATCAATGATATAATATAATTAAAAAATAAAAAAATAAAAGCATTATATATATATATATATATATATATATATATATAATAACATAAGTCTTATTCTATTATTACACAGATTCTCGTGTTAATAACAATAATAATATAAACAATTAACTATTATAGATTTAAATTATTTTATATATTAGAATAGTATAATATAATCACGTTAAAGAAAAAAAAATATTTTTTTTACTAGAAGTAACGAGTGAATTATATAATTAACTATAATATATTTTTAAGTGTTTGTTATAGTATTTGAAAAGATGTTTTATACATTTTTAAATTAATAATTGTTATTTTTTTAGTATTTTAAAAATTAAAAATATTTATATCTTTTTTAAATATATCACTAACTTCATTGTTTATTATATATATATATATATATATATATATATATATATAAAACATAAAATTACCAGTAATAATTGTTAGGAAGACATAAAGTATTCTCTTAATTTGTAATTACAAGACATCATCAAATTTATCATATTTTTATTTAACTAAACTTGTGCTTTTCTTCTTTATCATAATCATATCACGTTATTTAATTTAATCATGACATATTACTTTTGAATTATTTAATTAGTGTAAGCATTTTATTTATTGTATGTAAAATTTGTATATAAATAAAATGCTATTAATAAAAATTTAAAAATAAATTATCTTAAACTTGTGTATAATAAATAAAAATGTAATCTTCTCTTTGTAGAGGTAATGTAAATATACTTACGATTGGAGTTGGAGATGAGATTTAGGCAAGAAAGCAGGAGGTGTAGATAAAACGAGGAAGAGTGAGATTGTGGAAAGAGTAGGAGAAGAGGCAAAGCCATAAAATAGGAAAATACTTTTTAACACTTTTTGTAATATGTTTTTGTTATCAATTAAAATTTATTAAAAATTCAAAAATATGTAAATCCTACTTTTTTTATTTTTATATTAATATTTCTCACTCATTTTTTAAATTTTTGATAAATTTTAACGAAGAATGTCTTAGGACAGTGTAGCCGTGATTAGTCTCGCATGATATATGTGACTTTTGGGTGCAGAGTGCACACAGCACACAGCACACAGCACACAACAGCCCACCATTTCGATTAAAAAATCAAATCACCAGCCGTCTCCTAAACTCGACGCTTTCAAAACTCAATTATATGAATATCATACGATTGACCAATAACCACTAACAACGCTTTTTCTTTCACATTCCGCCATTTTTGCATTATTCAACCTTAACACCTGTGTTTCCACCTGACCTACCCATTACCCAATGTCAAAGGTTTCTGACTTTGCTTTTTTACAAGTTTTCATCTTTAGGATTCAACAACATGATTCCAGAATTATACGAGAATATATGTTAATGGGTTTTATCATTCAGTTTAGTTTTTGATTCTTTGATTTGAAGGCACCATGCATGCCTCCTTCCATCCTAAATTTTAAAACAAAAAGTTTAATTTCCAATTGGGTGGCCGTGCCTGTGCATGGTTGTGTCTCTTAATAGCCTTTGTGATAAAATTTGTACTAGTGGCATTTAGCTTATGTGAGAATGTTATATATTGCAGATTGCAGAGTATAAATATACCAGGACCATCATGACTTGTGGTTGCTTTGGAAGTCATCATTGCTTTGGATCCAAATCTATAAAGAAGAAAAGACGCCCTTCTTATTTTACTCCGGAAATTGGTGGTGAGGATTTGGTGGTTACTTACTTTTCATATTATAGCATTGCTAAAATGTTTTTGCGATTTTCATTGTCATTTATTTGTAGTCAAGATTGTGTATATAATAAATTTTCCAGGCGTTTGAACATCTTTAATAAACTGAAATATCTTCAGCTATAATTCCTTTCTTGTCATTTTTTTTAATTTCTTTTCCCATTTATATACACATTTTTTCTCATGCCTATATTCTTTAGGTGCAGGCCATCCACTAGATAATGTCAGGAATTTTTCTGATGAAGAACTGAGATTGGCAACTAGTAATTATCATGCAAACAATAAGATAGGACGAGGAGGTTTTGGAACCGTTTACCAGGTATTCAGGTCACTGATGCTCGTATAAGTTGATTAAGTTCACCCATGGAATTAATATGAATGTTAACCAATTGAACTCGAATTCTTCAGAGGGTTTATGCTGCGAGTAATTGCTATTTGCAATCTCTCTCGCTCTTACATTGTTTTTGGCCCAGTAAAAATATCATCACAGAACACTTTTTTTGCTCTTGGATTTCAACATTAGGATTGTTGGGGAATGTTCAATATATACAATACACTCTAATGTTTATATATCAATTTTTTTTTTACCAAAATAAATACGATAAATTTAAATTTGATTCCCTCATACATGTGCTCATAAAAATAAAGAATTCAATTTTGGGTGCATTGTTGTTCAGCATCCAACTTTGCATGTTAAAATATTTCCTGTATCATTGTTTGGCATCCACCAAGACTAGGACTAATCAGATGTAAACTACCTCAATTTTCTCTAACGCAAGTTAAAGAGCTCTTCTGATCTGAGTGCAGGTAATGCTTCAATGTCATGCTTAAACAACAAAAATATGACTTAAGTATCAAGAAGTAAACCCTTCCGTTATTTTCCATTTAATTAAACCAAAAAGCTGTCCAGAGAATTAGTAAAATTTTTGTTCAGAGGACATTGTGTATGTGTTAATTTACTTCAGCTGAGGAAGAGTATAAGGTGCTAAAAAATGACATAACATTTTTTATTTTATTTTTTGCTATTATCAATTGTTAAGCCATTCTAAATACCCACTTCACATTTTTGCTAGGGAACCTTAAAAGACGGAAGACGTATAGCAGTGAAGACTCTTTCAGTTGGGTCAAAGCAAGGAGTTCGTGAATTTTTGACTGAAATTAAAACTTTGTCAAATGTTAAGCATCCAAACCTTGTTGAATTGATTGGATTCTGCATTCAAGGACCTAGTCGTACATTAGTCTACGAGTATGTGGAAAATGGAAGCCTTGATAGTGCAATACTTGGTAAGTTTGTCAATGCTTGTTTTTAAGTATTAAATCACAAATTAAATCCATATATAGTTGAGAGAATGAAACGTGCATGTAACCTTTCTTCCCTTGTTCCATATTTTTGTAGGCACAAGGAGTACAAACATGAAACTAGACTGGAGAGAAAGATCTGCTATTTGTGTAGGTACTGCAAAGGGTCTTGCATTTCTTCATGAAGAACTTGCGCCACATATTGTGCACAGAGACATCAAAGCTAGTAATGTACTACTTGACAGAGACTTCAATCCCAAAATAGGTGATTTTGGGTTGGCTAAATTATTTCCAAATGGTATTACTCACATTAGCACAAGAATCGCTGGAACAACGTATGTTATATTTCAGATGTAGTTGTTTTTTATGTTTTACACTTGCTATTGTTAGCTTATTGTTCCTTGTTCAAGCCCCAGATCACCAAATAAGAGTTTATATAGTTTAAAATAATTATCAACTTTTGGGATTGAACTAGGCCAAAGCTCAAATTTAAAATGGCATTAGAACTTGTAAATTTGATTTTGGGCCACCTTGGCTTAAAAAAATACTTGGTCCCACAGATTTTTCCATTTGTTTGTTTGGAAAACAGGGATGTTCTAATTTGTCCACTTGTTGTCTATAATTTTTTGTATTTGGAAAATTGGTCAATTTATACTTGGACTAAGGAACTGATTAATACTACACCCTGCTTTGGTTTCTATTTATTCAGTGGTTACTTAGCACCAGAATATGCAATAGGTGGCCAGTTAACGAAGAAGGCTGATATATACAGCTTTGGTGTTCTTATACTTGAAATAATTAGTGGCCAAAGCAGCGCGAGGACTAACATGGGAGGGTCGCACAAATTTCTCTTGGAATGGGTACAGAAATATCATTTCCTACATATATTAATGACTTCGGAACATTATACATTTTATGTTTTGCAGGTCTTTAAGATAACAACATTATTTAGCCTATGATTAATGCCTTGATGCCCCTATAGTTTGTTTGGGAATAATTTGTGAGGGGAATGAAAGTGGGAAGATAGAATGTAAATTTATACACTTTTTCTTTCCATTCAGATTCAATTCCTTGATCGGATAAAAAAAGTCCAAGCAGACCAATTCACTGCCACTAGTTTATTGATTTATCTTTCGACTTGTTTCTGAACTGCTTTTACATGAAACTATTTTGTTCCATGTAAGATAAACATCCCTATGTTTTTGTTGGGTCAAATATTTGCAATATACGGGCAGCGTTAGAAACACTTTCTAATACACATTTTTAAACACATCCTTAGTTATTATTGAAAATTACTAAAAGTATGAAAGAGAATAATGAAACTAGGAGTAAAAAAGAGTAAGATGTTTTTTAATAAAATTTAGTTAATAACTAGAAGTGTGCTAAAATTGTACTGCTTCTTTGTCTATTCTAAATTTGTTGAAACTTTAGACTGGACAAACATAACAATTATTATTTGCTCTTACAGGCCTGGCAGCTTCATAAAGAGGGGAAATTGTTGGAGCTTGTAGATCCTGACATGAAAGAATTTGCTGAAAAAGAGGTAATAAGGTTCATGAAGGTTGCTCTTTTTTGTACACAATCAGCAGCAAGTAGAAGACCATTGATGACAAAAGTAGTTGATATGCTAACCAAGGAAATTCAGCTCAATGAGAAAGAAATTACAGCTCCAGGATTCTTCATAGATGCAGGAGAATCCTCTAGAAAGAAGTCATACCCTGACAACTATTCTATTAGCTCTAGGGCTGTTAGTATTACCCAGGTGACCCCACGATGACATATAAATACATTTCTGATGTGAATTGTAAATGGGGGAAAAGTAGTGTTTGATTTTTAAAAGATTAATAGTTTATTTCATTTATTGTTTTTCATTTTCCTAAGAATATAACTTGGCATGGAAGCAATTTCGTGCGAGTGCATGATCAAACCGGTGGTGTATCTCCATTTTACATTCATCTCACGTCAGTTTTCCACGAACAATTTTATATCTTCTCACTTTAATGCTTACAAATATTTTGAATTATTAAATAAAAAATTATTAAATATTTTTCATTCTTTTAAGATAACAAATACATATAGGCTTTTATTTTTATTTTTTTTATAATGCAGGAGGATATCATAAAACTTGTTTTTTTTGTTTTGCTTATGATAGGAAATTAGTGAGTAGAGTATACTTGAATCACAAATCACAAAATGCCCGGCGTAAAAAAACGTATGATATATTTTTGAAAAATATTAACCTCAATCTTTAAAAGAATAACTTTTTAAGCATTTCAAAATAATAAAATTTTATTAGAAAAGTAAGTTTTTTTTTTTTTTTTGCTGATAAGTATTTTTTTAATCATAAATATAATAACATTTTAAATAAGAAGTTACTGGTTTTATATTTTTAAATCAATCTTAAGACTGATATTAATAAAATTGTATGCTCTTCCATTCCTCAATATCAATTATCTATCACAAGCCACAAATAACTACAAGATATCATAAGTTTATCAGCTCATACATATTTTAAATCGGTGATTCTAGAGATAACAATAATACGGCTAATACAATACAGGTCACTCATTGTCCAACACGACAGAAATTCAAACCACACGAGATCAACGGAACCAAAAAAAATTTGTGTTCCGATTCATATTAAATATGTATGCATCCGAAAAACAAAAAAAATGCAAACACCATATCGTACGCAACTAAATCTTCGCTTTGTAGACTCTATCACACGTTCTCCCAAATCTCTTAACGACATTGGGTCGAGCAATTTGGGCTAAATCACATTTGACAAAACGATTGGAATGGTGATTTGGCAACTCCTGGATGGGGGTGCCTTCCCTTAAGGATACTAAATAAGCCTATGATTATCAGCTTATGGATACTAAAATAAATAATGAAACAAGGATCAGGCTCATACCAACAGAAATTTTAACTTATAAAACGTTTGTATTTGACACCACTAGACAGCAATCCCAACAAGCACTCTGTCTAAAAGGATGTATTTAAACCCATGAACATTGAATCTCCACGTCACGATAGTCAATTATGGATTTAATTCATGCAAAAACTTAAAGTTGGTAATAAAATGCAACCAATAAGCATTAGAAACTAATGGCAGGACTGAAGACTGCAGGTGCAAAAAGAGATGGTAGAAGAAAGATTGAGAGGGAATAGAAGTATGATAGGCAAAATTATGCAGCAGGCTGCTCCTCAGCGGCAGGAGCTTCTTTCTGGGGTTCGTCTGCAGAGCCATTAGAGGTGGCGTCCTTTGGTTGTGAGCCAGGTGCACCTTCGGCTTCCGGTCCAGTTGCTTTAGATGCTTTTTCTTTCCCATCCTTACCATCTTTGGCATCTTTAGCAGGAGCAGGTGGTGGAGGAATCATGTGAGGTGGTGGTGTATGCTTCAGCTTTAAGAGTATTTGCCGCATCCGGGAAAGATCCGTGGGTTTGCCAGGCTTTGGCCCTTGGACGACTGTAATCGATGGCTTCTTCTCCTGATCCTTTTTGCCTCTCTTCTTTTCAATGTTGGGAACCTCACGAGGAATGAGCTCTGCAATTGATTTCCAATAAGCTTTGTCTGCCTCTTTGTGAAACTTCTCTTGATTAGCCAAGAATAACTGCTCCACAAACAAATTTCATTTTCTACAATTAAGAGAGCGGGAAAAATACACCAGGCAAAAAGTGATATCATGATGCAAGGAAAACTTACCTTCTCCCTTTCTCTATTTTGAACCTTGTTAGTCTCAACATTAAGCTTCCTTTTCTCATAGAAAGCCACTTTATACTCCTCAGCTTCCTCAATAATCTTCAATCTCATTTCTTTTTCCCTTTTCTCCTTCTCCTCTAGCAGAATGGCATTTTGACTGTACAAGGAAAGCCAAATGCATATTCACTTTTTATGACAACTGAGTTCAGCAAACTTGGGACGGTTCTCACTCAATCTTTAATGGCCAAAGATGAGAAATTAAGAAACTGATTGTTCTTTTCAACAGGGAATTTAGATTCAAGGCAATAACTTTTTGTGGATAAAATTTATTAATGGTAATAACATTATTAATGCCACATTGACCTATAATCTTAAATCAGTTTTGAAAATAGTACTTGGCACTTGGCAGGCATTTTTGGATATCTAAAACATTATATACTTTATCTAGGCTTGGAAAAAGATAACATGTAACCTGTTTAAGCCATGCACCATACAATTAACATAAATATTGCATATAAAACTTAGAATCCTAATTTCAAAATTGCTAACTGACTAGAATTATGCAGTACATATATTGAAACAATGCAAATTTGTATTTTTTTTTAAAGCCAGACCAGTTGCTCAGTGTCTGATATATCAAAGATTATAAGATTTTTAATCCCATACCAAATGGCTGACCATTGTAAGCAAAATTGACTGCAAATGTTAGGACAACATGCCATTGATGTATGAGAGAAGAGAACATCCATATAAATCAAGGAGGGAAAGTTCAATTGTCTCTTAAAAGGATGTACAACAAACAGGTTATTCAACGCAAGCAAAAACATAAAGTCAGGAGTTTGAAGGGTATGAAGACCATCTGCTAACATAGATTTACAACAGTTAAATCCTTTTTTAGCTTTACCAGATATGATAAATCATCATATTTGTAGAACCAGATAGTCCAATATCAATTAAACCTTCAAGTACATGGGGGGAAGAAAAAGAAAAGGAGAGAAAAAAATTCTGCCATCGGGGTCTATTTAAGAAGCACACTATAAGTGTTATACAGCTTTCAAGTCATACTTCCATAGCACACTCACAAAATCAAAGATCAGGAGGATCTGCTTGATACTCAACAAGATTTATCCACACTTAAGTTCTTTGTAAAATGCATGCCAGATCTTAGCTCAACAGGGAAGAGGTGTAAAACACAATATCGTCAACTTCACTATGATCATCTCACTCCAAAGGGCACGCGATTAAACATTGATTATTCTTACACTAAATCTAATCCAATGAAGTGAGCACATAGACAAACCCTAAAAATTGTCAAGCCTGCACCGGGATTGGAATTCCAGTCCAAGCTGCTATCTTAAGTTTTTCCCAGCATGAAATTTACCCTAAAAAATATCTCACCGCCCAATAATTATAGACCATAGAAATCCAACACCCCTGAGCGAAAAACAAATCACTGCCCTCACTCATTACGCTCTAAACTTCCTCTATCCAAACACGGCTTCAAAATTGGATGATATAAATAAAATCCCCCTTAGCATACGAACACAAATACCAAATCTCTTGAAAAGATCACCTCTACATATCTTACCACAGCTCAACTAACTACTTCTAGTGAAATTGTATTGAACTAAGTTCATCAATTCGTTTCATTTTACAAATAAGATCAAGCTTTCCGATTCCCCATTCCTAATCCAAACTCCTTACTACTAACCTTAAGAAACTCTTGTGATCAATCTTTTGGATTAAAGCAAAATCATCACAGATCTAAGCCTATTCTAACAAGATCCGAAAAATTCAGAAAACAGAATAGAACCAGCAATCACTTACCGGCGCCACTCCCGAAGTGCATAACCTTCCTCCGGCTCCAACTCACCCGGTGGCGGAAGCACCGGGCCATCGGAGACAAAAACACCGTCACCGTAGCCGTTTCCATTTTCATTTCCGTTCTCAACAGTGACTGATTCGAAGGGAGACTGAGAGTAAGCAGGATTCGGATCAGTAAATCCGTAGATCTCCGGCGACGCTGCAGCAGCATGATCCACGGCGACATCCCCGTCTGGAGTGAATCCTCCGGTGAAAGAGGAGTAGCCGCCGTAGCCGGAGTAGTTTTCCTCCTCGTCGTCTTGGTGGTGAGTGGAAGTGGAGTTGACGTTCAAGTCATCCGCGAAGGCATCAAAGGAAGACATGTCTGCCTGTCTCTCTCTCTCTCTCTAGAAATGGGTTTCTCTCTCTTCTGTGAAATGCAAATAATGCGAACACTGTTGCTTTGCTTTGACGAGGTTGAACACTGCCTCTAAACTTTCCTTGACTTTTTAAATACTTAATGGTGAATATTACCAAAAAAATTTGAAAAAAAAAGATTTCTATAAAAAAAGATTATATAATATGTGAAAAAAATTAAAAAAAATTTATTTGATTCATCATTAATATCATTTTTAAATTAAAATAAAAAATAATTCGGCATCGTCGTAGAAGATTGCTTTTGTAAAATGTTACTCATAAACTTAACAGTTAATATTTATGTTTATAAGTTTTTTCTAAACAATATTATTATAATTTAAATAAAATAAATACAACTATTTTAATTTTTTAGATAATTTTTTTTCATTTATCATAATATTAGTTGACATAAAATTATTTTTTACTTTTTTAGTGAATAATATTACTGGTTTAGAATAAATAAATAAATATTATTACAATAATTTTTTATAAAAATATTATATCTTAATAATTAATTTAATTAAATAGTTTTCTTAATATATTTATTAAAACAAATTTTTAAAAATTTGAAAAATGTAGCACACTTTAAAAAAATATAATTTTTACAATGTCAAGGTCATTTTAAGTTCTTTATTTATAAAATAGTTATAACTATTAATATTATATTAAATATATATAATAAATAATAAAATTATTATTTTATTTTAAAAATATAAATATCTTTTAATTATTAAAATAATTATAATTATTAATTAAAAATATATATACAATATTCTTTTTAAGTTTATATGAGCACAATAATCACTTAAAAAATTAATTATAACTTTCAATGAAAAATTTGCCAACAAAAGTTTTAGTACATGTTTAATTTAATTTATTTTGAGAAAAAAAAATTTTTTTAAAAATTTTAAAAGAATTAAATATTTTTTAAAATTAATTGTGCAGTGCAAATCACTTTTTATTTGGACAGTATAGATTATATAGATAAATTATTTTTCACCAAAATAAGAAAATTTCTAATAAATGTAAAGTAAGCTCAATAAAAACTGAAAACTGCAGTTGTTTTTATTTGTTCAAGGACGTAAAACACTTCATAATTATTTTTTTCTTCAAAATAAATATTATTTTAAGATTTTTAAAATGAAAATTTCAAGGTAGTTATTTACTAAAGTTTGTCATATAACTTCTTTTTTGCTCATTTTTGTTTTAGTAAACATACAAATTTTAATCAAGTTTCACTTATTTAACATTTGACAGAGACATAAGAAAAATATATTAATTTTATCTTTTGAGTGATATTTCTATCAAGTAAAATAAAAAAAATTAACAAAACAAAAATATAATATTAAATATATTTGTTATAAAAAATATTTAATAAATCTTTTAATTTCATATAGAATCTTAAAAACTATAACAGTTATTTTTAGACACCAAAACATCAGTAATTATAAATTGCGGCCGACAGATGCATAATTAATACTATTGATTTAGCTTGGTGTTCTTAATAAATTGACCAGTTGACCTAGGTAGAAAAAAATTCACAGAAATAAATTGTTTCTGGTTCAAAATTTTCAAAGAAAGTCATGTACAATGGGATGAGTTGTGTTTATCATTTTTTTCCAATATACTTTGAATAAGAAAAAACAGAATATTAAATGATATTCCTTTACTTTCTCATAATATATACTTCCATCTAATATCTTTGACATTTGCTTACTTCCATCAAAATTCATTTATGCTTTAATTCTACTGTGTGCTCAGGGTTAAACGCTAGAAAAATCTTTAACATGTAAATGGCAAAGACTTACTTTAACATCTGTATACCATAATTTAAAGAAAAAATATTCAAAGTTCCACTGAATTAAGCTATACATGCCCTTTGGATTAATTCAGTTTATTCCCTCCAGTTCTCATATTTCAATATTTCAATTTGTAGAAATAACTTCTCTCTCGATATCTATCTATTTATAGAGACACATATTCACATTAGTTTATTTTTGTATAAATTTAATTTTTTTTTTACCTTATTCAATAATTTAATGTTTTTCTAATTTACTATTCATGATATATTTTGATCATTATATATATATATATATATATATATATATATATATATATTTAAAAATATACAAATAATATTATTTTTATTCAAATTTTATAAAATATAATATAAATAAGTAAGGCTAAGTTTAGTTATAATATATCATTATGTTGACAAAAAAAATGTTTAAAATAAAATTATTGAATAAGGTAAAAAAAAATTAAATTAATACGAAAATAAACTAATGTGAATATGTCATTTTTGAATAAATAAACTCTTAATTGATAGGTCTCCAATGTCTCTCTCACTCTGTCTTGCCTTGTGTGCGCTGTCATATTCATATATATTCTTTATGTTTTGGATAATAATCTCTCCAGTTTTTTTTACAGGAGCAATTTTAATTTGTATGATTTCTTTTAGTCATTATATCGTGTATAGTATGATTAATTGTTGATAACACAAATTTACTATTACAAACAATATTTGGTTATCACTTAAAATCTGCCAACCATGGGTAAAATAAAGTGGTATTCTTTTACCTTTCCACTCCACTCCATTCCAAACCTTTTACATTATGAATTACTACACAGAATCCCTAAATCCTGATGCATCCTAGTGCAAAGTTGTGCTATATTTTCATTCAATCATTTTTAACCACCCATTTTGTGTCTATATATTCATCCACTTTTCTTCAAAACAGAGTCATTAGCTAAATATTCTTCATATAGTATTAACAGTGAGCATAGTAAGCTGTTACTCCAGGCTACAATTAAGTTTTCAGCAGAGTAATATGTTGCATGTACACCTCAAATACAATATCGTGCACCGACAGCAACAGATACAAGCACACACGATTAATTGTGAGAGATTTCTATTGAACAAATAAATAATTGTGTCACCAAAAGGTTTGGGAATAAAAAATAATAATAATCAAAACTGATAAACTGTACTACTTCTGTGAACTAACCTAGAAAAATTGCCAAATAACCGTGTCTCCAAACAAGTACACAGCGATAGAATTGTCAGCAACATGAAAGACAAATTGGAGGTAACGTTAATGAAAACCAACTTCAAGCATTGAAATACCTGTATAGCTGTACTGAATGGCATTTCGTGATTCAGTTGAAAATAGTTAAAAGTAAGGTGGTAAGGTTAGTGAAAACTAACTTCAGGTGTAAAAAGACCTGTGCTGAATGGTGCATCATGGCTTCGGTCAATAAAAATCCTGATCAAATGCTCAATTCCAATAGACAACTCTTTTGCATTAAAACTTGCACCGGGTATGCAAAGCACAGAAAAGCAACTGCAACTGTGTCATCTTCTGGGCTCGCCACAGAGCATTCCCAAATACACACAACTGGCACTGCATTGCATGAGATGAACAAGATGTAAATATTTCCTCAAAATATATGTTCAGTATCTAATCCCACATCAGTGAGGATCATAAATTGATATGAAAAGTGGGTGTTCTACTTGGCATTGGACTCAACAACAAAAAGACTGAAAGACCAAGCACCCACTTAACTGGAAGTCATCCAATCGACAGCCATTCTTTGAATTGTTGCTTCAATAAGAAATATATGTCCTATAAAAGTCATACTGACTAAGTGAGATGAATCCAGTCACACTTTTCAAGGAACAAGAGAAGCATTCCTGGGATATCTAGCAGAAGAGGGAAACCGTTGCAGAATTTGAGGATATTCTTGCTTTAGTCGTTTATTTGGTAATCCTTGCAGTGACCTGATTTATAATATAATAAGAAAGAAGCAATAAGAAAGTAAGAAAACAACAAATGAAATACTGAAATCCCTTCAAGTGGTGTAAAGATTAAAAAATAATTTATTGTCACAGAAGCTGACATATCTGTGTGTGGCTTTGTCTAATCAGTTTTCTCTATCATATCACATTGACTTACAATTGTCAATATTGACCAATAAAAGAAAATATAGCTTAAATTGCACCAAATAAACCCAATTCGAAGCACAGAAAAACAATAGAAATTGCAAGTTTAGCTCATACATTCCAGGTATTTTGTGATCTCTATTGCATTGTGAAGATTTAACTGCTTAATTCCTGTGAGGTTATAGTCTATATTCTCTTGTACTTGGTTTCTGCCAAGTATGGACATCCCTTTCTGCTTGAACCTACTGCTTCTGAACTTTCTGGTTATAACTGTTTTTATCATATCTTGGTCAATTCAGAACAAGTTAATGTATATAGTGTGATGTAAACAAAATAAAAGTGAGTTTTCTCAGCTTTAAGAGAAGGGTTATTTCTTCTTTCCACATTGCAAAAGAGTTTGTAATTGCTTTGATGGATGATCATCTTTGTATGCTCAATTTTTCATAGTGGAGATTTTGTTACTGCCTGTGTACGTAGCCTATCTTGGGTGAACCATGTAAATTTGTTTGAGTTTTATCTTCTTATCTTTGATTTTGCTTATCATTATTCTTCATTAGTTTCTCGTCTTGTTCTCTGTGTGTTACTCTACACTCTTTTTTAGGTGTTTCATATCTTCTACCATCAACAATTGTTATCAAGAGCTACCAAGGTTTTGGAGCTGTTAGTGGGGTTTGACAACAAAGAAGAAGCAGAATCTTGAAGAGGTTAGGAAGTGAAAGAAGGGAATATCTGATGAGTTTGCAAGATTGTGTTGTGAACAACCTTTCTTGTGCCATTTTGCAACATTTTTTTTGGGAAAGATGTCTCCGAACATAAAGATCAAGAAATTCCATGGCAAGAACAGTTTCAGTCTTGGCGCCTCAAGATGCGGGCTTTATTGAAGAACCAATGGTTGCGGGCACCTCTTTCGGGTCAAGCCAAGAATGGAGTAGATGATGAGCCTGCAGTACAAGAGGAAAAGACACATTCATTGATATTACTATCTTTGTTAGATGAGGTTAGATGAGGTGATATATGAAGTGGCTGAAGAAGAAACAGAGGCAGGTTTTTGGTTGAAGTTGGAAAGCCTTTATATGTCTAAATCAATATTCAACAAGTTGCTGTTGAAGAGAAGATTGTTTGGGCTTCGTATGAAGAAAGAATCATCTTTGAAGGATCATTTGGATGAGTTGAACTCTATCCTAATGGATCTATGCAACATTGACATCAAGATTGATGATGAAGATGTTGCGATGATACTCTTGGTGTTGCTACCTACATCATATGAGAATTTTGTTAGTTCTCAAAGTGTTGGGAAGGATAGCATCACTTTAGAAGAGGTGAGGGCAAGTCTTCATGAGACGAAACTTCGACATAAGGCGTTTGGGGATGAAGAGAATCTGGCATCAGGACTAGTGGTTTTGGAAAATGGAAAGGGACAACAAAAGAAAAAGAAGGGTAAGAAGAAGAGGGGGAAAGTTGGCCAAGGATGCATGCTATGTTTGTAATGATCTTGGACATGGGAAAAAGGACTGTCCTAAGAAGAATTCAGTTGCTGCAGTGGTTCAAGAAGCAGATTTCTCATCCGAAGTGGACTTGGTACTCGCAATTGAAGAATCAAACGATTTAATTGAGCAATGGGTACTTGATTCTGGGCCTTCCTATCACATGTGTCCAAACATAGGCTGGTTTGTCACATATGATAGGAAGGATGGAGGAAACGTGCTGTTAGGCAACAAAGTACCTTGCAAAGTTGCTAGAGTAATTTCTATACAAATTAGGATACATGATGGAGTTGTTCGTACACTCATTGATGTCCATCATGTTCCAGAATTGAAAAAAAAATCTTATTTCTATTAGAGTATTAGATTCAAAAGGTCTTGAATGTATTGTTCAAGGTGGAGTGATGCATGTTAAGAAAGTGTTTCTATTATGATGAGAGGAAAGAAAATAGGAAACTTGTACGCGTTGCAAGGATCAACACTATCTGGTACATTTTCAGCGGCATCTTAGGAGGAGAAAGTTGGGTTAGATTTGACTAGACTATGGCATATGCGTTTAGGGCAGATGTGTGAAAGAGGTTTGGATGTTCTTAGCAAACAAGGGCGTTTGGGTGGCCACAAAATCATTCAATTGGAGTTTTGTGAGCGTTGTGTGTTTGGGAAGCAACACAAGACAAAGTTTTCTAAGGTAGTGCATACCACAAAAGTGATTTTGGATTATGTTCATACGGATTGCTGAGGACCTTCTCATGTTCCTTCCTTGGGTGGTGCCAGATATTTTCTTTCCCCATTATTAATGATTACTCAAGAATGACATGGGTTTTTATGTTGCAGCAGAAAAGTTAAGCCTTCATAATGCTCAAGCATTGGAAGATTCTAGTGGAGAATCAACAAGGGGAGAAGGTGAAATATATAAGGACCGACAATGACTTGGAGTTTTGTTATGGGGATTTTAACAAATTTTGTAGAGAAGGTATTGTGGGACACCACACAGTGAGACATAGCCCACAGCAAAGTGGAGTTGTTGAGAGGATGAATAGAACATTACTTGAAAGAGCTAGATGCATGCTCTCTAATGCTGGCCTAAGCAGAAACTTCCAGACATAGGCAATTAACACAACTTGTTATTTGGTAAACATGTCTTCCACTACTACTATAGACTATAAATCCCCTATGGAGGTATGGTATAATAAACCTTTTGATTGCTCTATTTTAAGAGTATTTGGATATCCTACTTATTATCATGTTAATGAGGGTAAGTTAGAACCTAAAGCTAATAAGGGGTTGTTCATGGGCTATGGGCTGAAAGGGTATAAAATTTGGTCTCTAGCTAAAAAGAAAGTTGTGATCAGTAGGATAATTCTTTTGATGAAAGTTCTAGGCTTCACCTGGTATTGGAAGTTTCTGGTGTTTCAAGTAAATAGGTGGAGTGTTCTAATAAAGAGGTGGAGATATGTGTAACTCTAAAGCCAAATTCAAATTTTGATATGCTGAAGACTGATGACATTGAAGAAAAGCTCGTTGAACAGGTAGTAGAGACTCGGTTGCAGGACATAGCTACTGGGAGACCACGTAGGCAGCATAAATCACCTCAAAGATATGGCTTTGAGGACATGGTAGCATATGTCTTACATGTAGCAAAGGAAGTACAATTTCTTGAACCTACAAGCTACAAGGTGGCAATTACTAGAGCTGATTCTTCTCAGTGGATTGCTGCCATAGGAGAAGAGATGAAGTCTTTTCAAAAGAATCATACTTGGGAGGTGGTCAATTTACCAAAAAGAATGGAGTTGTTGGTTGTAAATGGAATTTTAAGAAAAAGACAGGTGACCCAAGATCAAAGCGTGTTAGGTATAAAGTTCACCTGATTGCAAAAGGATAAAGTCAAAAGGAAGGAGTGAATTACAACAAAATTTTCTCACGTGTTATGAGGCATACTTCGATCCGAATGTTATTAGCCTTAATAGCACACAAAGACTTAGGCTTTATTTGGGAGTTTGAAAGGGGGGAAAAGAGAAGAATTTGAAAGGGGAAGGAAGGGGGAAGGAGATTAAACCCTTCCTTTATTTAGATGTTTAATATTGAGAGATGAGGGTGATGGAAGATTTAAGTATATAAATAATATTATATTTTATATCTTTTTTTTATATTTTTTATTTTTACAAAAAAATAAAAAATAAATATTTTTTTTTATAAAAATTAATATTTTTATTTTTTTTATAAATTCTTTTAAAAAATTTCACTTGAAAAACTAACATTAAACAAAAAATTAGAATCCTAATCGTAGAAGAGTGAAGGAGTGAGAGAGAGAAAACTTATGAAAAACCTCTAAATTTGGGAGAACTCAAAAAACTAGCATTGAGAGGGCTTTAGAGAGTTTAGAAAACCTCTCAAACCCTTTTCCTCCTAATTAAATAACTTCCAAATAAGGATTAACTCCTCCTAACCCCTCCCTTTCTCTCTGCATCCTTCCTAAACACAACTCCCAAATATAGCTTTAGAGTTTGAGCAATTGAATGTGAAAACAACATTTTTATAGAGAGATGGAGGAAAAGATCTTTATGAACTAGTTAGAAAGGTTTGAGGTTCTTGGCAAAGAGGACCATGTTTGTTGTTTGAAAAGAAATTCTTGTATGGTCTAAAACAATAACCTAGGCAATGGTATAAGAGGTTTGACAGCTTCATGGTGAGTCATTGGTTTTGTAGGAGCCCATATGACTGTTGCGTTTACCACAACAAGTTGGAAGATGAATCTTTCATTTATTTGTTATTGTATGTGGATGATATGCTTATAGCAACTCAAGACAAGTCAGAAATTCAAAAGGTAAAATTTGGGTATAGAAATCTAAAGGGATTGCACTACGAAGAAACTTTTCTTATCTCAAGAAATTTACATTCAAAAAGTGTTATCTCAATTTGGGATGGTTATTGCAAAGTCCTTAAGCACTCACTCTGCTGCCAAGACAAAATTTTGTATTACTTATACATCTTAGACTCAGAAGAAGTTGGAGCATATGTCCAAGGTGCCATATGCAAGTGTTGTTGGGAGTCTTATGTATGCAATAGTATGCGCAAGACTAGATATTGCACATGCAGTGGGAGTGATGAACAAATATATGAGTCAACCTAGGAAGGAGCATTGATAGGCGGTGAAAAGGATATTCTAGTATTTGAAGGGTACTACTGATGTTGGATTGATCTATAGAGCTAAAAATGCTTGCATGGTAGGCTGATACTTAGATTCCGATTATGCTGGAGATTTAGATGGTAGAAGATCTGTCACAAGTTATGTCTTTATTTTGGGAAGTTCAACTGTGAGCTGTAAGACAACTCTTCAACCTTCGGTTGCTTTGTCAACTATAGAGGCAGAGTGTATGGCCTTGGCTGAAGCTGCAAAAGAAGGCATTTGGTTGAAAGGAAAAATTGGACGTTTGGGTATTCCTCAAGAGCATGTTGTGATCTTCTGTGACAGCTTGAGTGCCATCTATTTGAAAAAGGATCAGGTTCATCATAAGAGCACCAAACACATAAATGTGAGGCATCACTTCTTGAGGACTGAGACAAGAATTAAAGTGCAAAAGATTAGTAAAAGATAAACCAGATGATATCTTTACTAAGCCTACTAACCTAGGAGCAAGTTTATGCATTGTTTGGGCTTACTCAATGTTGACAAGTGGAAATAGCCTTGCAAGAGCTAGGCAGTTGTAGAAAGTTTATTGTTGATTATCCATGTATGAGTATGTGTAAAGAAGATTGAGTCCAAGGTGAAGATTTGTGAGGTTATGGTCTAAATCCTCTTGTACTTGGTTTCCGCTAAGTATGAACATACCTTTCTGCTTGAACCTTCTGCTTCTGAACCTTTTGGTTATAACTGTTTTTATTATATCTTGGTTTATATAGAGTCAATTCAGAACAAGTTAATATATAGTGTGATGTAAACAAAATAAAGGTGAGAGAGTATTCTCAGCTTTAAGAGTAGGGTTATTTCTTCTTCCACATTGCAAGAGAGTTTGTAATTGCTTTGGTGGATGATCATCTTTGTATGCTCAATTTTTCATAGTGGAAATTCTGTTACTGCCCGTGGACATAGCCTATCTTGGTGAACCACGTAAATTCGTTTGAGTTCTATCGTCCTATTTTAGATTTTGCTTATCATTATTCCGCATTAGTTTTTCATCTTGTTCTCTGTTTGTTACTCTGTTTTAGGTGTTTCATATCTTCTACCACAACAATTCCAATGGGTGCAAATCACAACATGCTAGATCAAGGAAGCACAACATTGAAAAGCGTTTTATATTTACAGATACAAGTTCGTCCATTGTGTAATACAATTAAAGAAAATCACATATACAAAATCGTCAGGTAAAAAATAACAAACCTGGGTGAACCCAGCGGCTTCCGAGTGCCTTGACCAAGCCTTGTTCTCAGACTTCCAAGTGCCTTCTCAGCAGCCTGAAGGAAAAAAGAAAGCATTTTAGACTAGTGCTCCAACACCATATGACTAAGTTAATCAAATTCATTTATACAGACATATATATCTATAAATAATAGTTCATAACTAAATACAATAAGATACCTGCATTTTAGCCTCATCCCATGTTAACCCAATCCCTTTGGCAAAGACCAGGCCATCTATCTCCACCTAAAACAATGGAAAATTGTTTAAAAAACTTCCAGAACTTACTAAGAAAACCAGAATTCAGAACTAAACAATATTTACAGTGTAGGGGAAAAGAGAAACGACAAAAGTGCCTTGTAGCTGAGAAGGCTTCTTTCATAGTTTATAAACCCTACAAGCAGGGTGTTTGCAAAACTACTACACTATACTAGATGCAAAATAGTAAAGGGGAATTTCAGCTCGAATCCCCAATGTTCATATTTCAGCAACAATTCAATAATTCTCCTAAAAAAAAGAATTATAAACTACATAAGTAGAATGGAAAGCAACATGTTAGGTAAACCCAATGGAGTTGTAAATAGAGTTAGTTCATGATGGTCAGTTAGAAGCCTAAGAGATTGGCAGATATATGCTATCAGGCTCGCAAAATCTTGAGATGAACACTTGTATTCATTCTTTCTCTAATTCTGAACCAGTACATACACAACACTAGTATATTTTGCTCATGCATAAATTACAAACCTGTGCATGTACTTCATCTTTCCGAACAGAATTTGTTGATACTGGAATTGGCAGAGATTGAAAACTGACAGCAAGACCCTCCATCATGCACTAAAGAAGTTGAATGGAAAATTTATTGTATATATACATAACGATTATTAACATAGCATAATGAATAAATGGGCCAAAATTGCTTCCTATATTTATTAAAAAGCTTACCAATTCTCTGAGAGCAGAAATTGAACCCATTGACCTTGTAGAGACTTCCAACCTAGGATCTAAAACCCTAGATGGCTCAGATGCAATTGAGAATGAAACTGACTCTTCTTTAGGAAATAGCTGATTATCAAGAGGATTAACACCACCCACAAAACCATTGTCGTTTGAACCATGAAATCCACTCACATCACCATAATTAGAACCAGAATTTGCCTTAACATGAGACATATATACATCTACAAAAATATTATAAAAATGGTCAAAATAAAATGTCATATCTATCAAGTCATTATTAAAAAAATTAGAAAATCTCACCGGCCAATTGTTTGATTGAACACTCAGCAGCCTTGCGTTGAGCTTCCCTTCTAGTTCTACCAATTCCTTCACCAACCTTTTTCCCAGCGAACCATGCCTGCAAATAAGATTGACATCAGATCAACGTGTATCAACAAACTCTAAATAAATATAATGAACTATATATTTTAGTAAGCGACTCCACTGTATAGCAAGCAAAATGGAACCAAATTTGCACCCCTGATTAAAGAAATATTAGATTAATTACAGATAAAACAATAAAGGCAACAATTCCAAATCTACTCATTACGATATAAGACACCCAACCCTGCATTTAGTGAATGGAAGTCATAAAATTAATAAAAAGCTTAGACTATATTGGTCAAAGTCAGTTTCTTGCAGTTAACTATAGAAAAAATATTTGTGGATTCATTGATTTTAAAATGAGAAATTTTATCCAAAATTAATTGAAATCAAACTATATCATAAATAACTCTGATTGCCAGAGAAGAAATGTAATATATAAATTACATGCAAACATAATCAACAAGGACTCAGAAGACCTTGCTTCCCAGAATGAAAGATACCTCAATGGAGAATTGTAATGCGGTACTAGCAACTAATGATGACCGGAATTCCACCTGTTGACAAAAAAGCAACAGAAACTTTCAACGATACATTCAGATAATATTAATAATCTATGCTGCAATGCCATCCAACTATTTTCTTATAGACACATATTTCCACTCACTCTAGTTCTGCACTTCTGTGCAATTTCCTTTAATACTCCAACTGTAGTATCAGCATGAAACAAAGAACGTCCAGATTTAGAGTCAAAATCCTTGTTGCTATAAGATGAACTACTCAAGGGATTGTCATCACCTTCATGACAACCATAATATCATGTCATTCTAACAATAACACAAAACATTAGAACCGACCAAATATTCAGACACAAGTGCCATAGCTTACCAGGGAAGGAATGAAAACTAGGGTGTGATTGGCTTGAGCCATCATCCCTATGATGAACCTGCAAAGAAATTATCTTTAGTTTAATTAATTAACTGAATTACTAAAAAATCTAAGAGTATGACCCTCCAGCAAACTGTCAAACATAATAGACTGAAATTTTTTATAAGCATTAACCTCCTTTGGCAATCTTTGGTGGCTCTCATGGAGAGTTCTACAAGATGAAATTGAATTGTCAACGTTGGACAACAGTGGTGGACAATGAGGCCAGTGCTTCTCAATATGCAATGGTTCAGAATCTGCAGGGAATTCTTTAGGTACTAGCCGACTAAGTTGCTGTGCCTGTGTACCCATCTCCTCTTCTACAGAAAACCATCCCCTATGTGATGGGACACAGGGAACAGAGCCTTGTATGGGATGTCTAATGGGAAATGGAGGTTCACTTGATGTGTTCTCCCTTGTATCTTGCCCATGTTGCAATATGAGAAGCCTACGCCTTGTATCTGGGTCTAATTCGGATTCAGGTACTTCACCCTCTTCTCTGGCAGGAGAACTATGCAAGATCGGTTCTGGAGGAGCAACTTGACCCATTGGCTTAACTAGAGTAGTAGATTGAGGGATCTGTACATTGCCAAATTGCATCACAGATGCTTGTGCTGTTGGTGGTGCAACTGTACCAGAAGAAGACACCATTGTGTGTTGAAGAGAAGCAGCAGAATTGAGTCTGGGATCTAAATTAGCAGTCACTGCAGGGATAGTTGAACATGCTGATGTTGCATCCTAAAAGCAAGTAGAGTCACAAAGATAACAAAATGTTTAATGATATGTATAACAGGCATCTCATTCATTCAGACTCAGGTTGTTACCTTTAATCTTCTTTCGACTTCAGCATCTGCCATGCCATCAAGTAGAAGTGAATCTTTATCTCCATTGGTAGCAGATGCATCATCCTGAACAACAATAAAACAAAGAGACACACACATATATATGACAAAATTAAATTATTCTCATTCTGCTTAAATCTCAACATACTAATTCAGCATATTGTACTCACTAGTAAATAACACACATACTTGAATGTACACTAACCTCTGAAACTAGATAATTGCTCACATCGGGGGGAGAAGGTATATCTTTGATATCATCTTCATAAGCAATCAGAGGGATCTTTTGTAAGAGCCCATCATCAAAATCCCTGTCACAAATCAGGTCCAAGAATTACCTTTATTTTTATTGGGAAAAAGTGAAGTTTTCAAAAACCAAGTTATAACTTATATCAAAAAAAGGTTTGTACAATTTGTTAGGGAAAATAAATGAGATCCTCTCTCCCCCCCCCCCCCTCCTTCAGGTGTAAAAATATGCATACTGAAGAAAATATTTGGAACATTTGATTCTTACTTGAAGAAGCCCCCCCTAACATTGCAAGCAATATTTCTTGCAAGACACAAGATAGGGATAGCATTGCTTGCCTACAGGACAAATAGGTTTCATCAGTTAGAACACTATAAATAACGAAACTTTACATATGAAACTGAAGATATTGAGTATCCAGTTATATAGGTAAGTGAAATTACTTCAGCTTGAGAAGCATAGTACGGAGCAAATGCAGGGACAACATGCACCCGGGGTTGGTCTTTCTCATCCCACACTTTCAAGCGATCGTCAATGATCAATGCCATCCTTGGATGGCAAAATCCATCTTGGAATACATTAAATAATGATTTCTTTAAACCTGTTATAATATATAGAAACACACAAGAAGCATAAAAAGTAAATGAACAGTAACAACAGAAAAACTGGCATGGATTTTAAATTTCAAATGCAGGCTATTGTCATCCTTTTAATTTGGTTCCTTTGGCTATTCCATTGCACATAAAGCTTCTCATTTGAAAAGAAAAATAATAGTTAAAAAGAATGCCACTTACCAGACTTGACACATACAATACGATCTAATAGTTCTTTTGAATTTATAAGATTCAAATCTGGATCAAGAAGCCTCCACATTTCTAGTGCATAGTCCCTTTCAGCCATTGTGCAAACAAAAACCTCAAAACGCTTGCGCCCTCTTGCTGTCAGGTAGCTCCGGAGATCTTCCCATGCAGGTCTCACCCTCACAAGAACACTAGTGTCACGAATCTTTCCAAAGACAAGTTATTGTAAGAGCAATGATTCTGGCAAGTCTATCAGTTTATATATGTGAAAAAAACTACAGCAAAAATGTAATATCTATTCATGTTGAAATCATCAAATCAAACGTGAAAGCTTCTGCTAGAGACACATAAACACATGCTTTTAGCATAGGGCATTGTAGAAAACCATTATGTGAATCATATAATCTCCGGTACAAATGATTAAAAGGCAGAATTCATGCTAATGTTAGGCATCATAGCATCGTTTGAGAACAAGATCATTGAGGAATAATAACGAAGATGCACAATCCCAAGATGCTGAAGTGTGCACTCAAATAATTGGATATAGAAACATTACATACCTGCGGATTGATGCGTGTCAGAATAATGTTCTTTTCCTGTAACCGTATCAGTGGTCGAACTATAGACTGATGACCATCAGACAACGCTGGAACAATCTCAGATTGAACTTTTATCACTTTCCCACTATCAACAACTTGATCATTTTCAGCATATTGCTTCAATATACACTTGTCATCTAGGTATCGCTTAATCTCTGCCTGCATACCAGAAATTCGTTGTGGATCTACCTCAGAGTTTATTTTTCGATGGAGCGCCTCAATTCTATCCTCAAAGGAGCGCATTGTGTTTGCTACTATAAGAGTTTCATCCAGATCAAACACTAAAGCCAAACATCTTAGATTTAACATTGCAAGGCATGAATTGTAGAGTCCAGAGGCAACAACAAATCCCCAGAAACAAGGTCTATCATTATTCCGTGAATACATTGCAACCAAACGTATTTCTTCCCCACCCTGTGGTATTACAGCAGTCTGCAGGAGCCAATGTTGGAATCATGATTAAAATCCAGCAACAGAATTTAGAAAAGTGGAAATTGACATCCACATATAATTTATGGGTAATGAATGTTCAAATAGAAAAGAAACAAAAGTTGACAAGGTTTTAAGTCAGCAGTTTGTCAACAAATGTCAAATATAGAGTGCCAGAACTAGAAGACAATCCTTTTCTGATATTCCTTATGAAAATATCAAGAATAGCTCTCATGGCTAATCTGTCTTAACATGTTCTCATAAGCAGAGTACAACGCTTGTGTAGTGATACATGATTAACATAATCTATATTCTGTTTTGTTTGTAAAACATTTGTTTGTTTAGACTTCAAATTTTCAATGAATTTACGGTTTATTCATTCGCAAATTGCAAGAGATTGTAACATGGACCTTGGGTGCTACATTTGAAAATCATCACATGCCATCCAACATAACAAACAAGCCTTGGCAACTAGTTATAAGATTCACAAGAAACAACAGTCAGTCTTCATAACCCAATTTGGGGTAAGCCTGAGTAAAGGAAAAGTGTGTAGTCAAGTCATTCAACTGGGGGCACCCCTTTAAGCAGTTCCTGCAACATTTGGTCCTTAAAACAGCAAATTCAATTTATTGAGACAATTATTATAAAAAATTAGAATCGTCAAAGACTTAGGGTGTAATTTCAAGATAAGTCATCTGAGATTCTGTCCAGACTCCGGAGTCCATATGCTTGTGTTTGGAATGTGAGTTGTTTTTCACTTTTTCTTTCAAGTCAAAGTTTAAAATGTCTAGTTCCTTAGTAGTATGTGTTTTCGCTTTTACAAGTTTTGCTAATTATACCTTGTTTTCCCTGATACATGAAGAGTGCAAGTGAAAGAGCGCATCCTGTTGCTGTTCTGTCTGCAAGGTCTTTGACTCCATTTTGAAGCAAACACCACAGGTAGCAAGGGTGTGAAGCACAGCAAGTGGTGTGCACCTTTCACTTGGTTGTGAGAAGTGACTTATTCTGATTTCTTTCAGATGCATGTTCTGGTTCTCTTCTAGATATATCTCTACCTCTCCCAATACCACTTCCCTATAGTATACCAAAGACTTGTACATTTTCCCTTGTTCTTTACTACTTCAAAATCACAAAAATCTTGTTGCGGCTTTCACAAAAAAAATTCCAGATTGTTTCATCGAGAATACTTTAAATTCATCCCAAATTTTTCGATTAACGGCAACAAAATATATGTATAAAAGAATATTAAACCCTATTGTTCTGACAAAATTTTAGATCCGGATGAAAATTCCAAACGCGCTGTCATGAACCTCAATCCCTGAGTGATTGTTTGAGGTGATGTTGGTTAGGGAATGGCGATGGCTATTGAGGAAAACGATGGTGGTGATTTCGAAGAGAAACCCTAGATCCGCAGAACGAAAGGTCGAAAGTAGAATACTCTGGCAAATGGCAAGCCAGTGAGTATAAATAATAACAAATGTTTGGTCTGAAAAAAAAAACAAGTGGGGTGCTTTTATAAATTTTAAAAGTTAAGTGGGCGAATATGAATAATATTATATTTTGCCTCCCATAATTTAGTTGGACTTGGGATGTGATGCTTTCAAGTTTTGTGACGTGAAGAAACGAACGAGTTGGTGGGTGGGTTTGGGAAACAGAATGGAGAGTGTGTGGAATGGGTAAATTATAATGTACGGAGATGTGGCTGAGGATGAGTTTACGTGTCCACTATTTATTGGATGCAAGTTTTCGTGCTTGTTATGAGTTATGCTTGTTCTTTGTTTGACCTTCACGCACAGTCGCACCTGATTTTGTAGTAAATATGTCAGTGACATGCTCCCATGCTTACCGGTTACACTTCGATCTTCAACTGTTGAGTACAATGATCTAATTTCAAAAGTTATTTATTATAAAAAGAAAAGTTGTTTGTTTTTATGTGTTACTTCCTTGGAATTTCAAATTCAATTTTAAAATTTAAGCCTTTTTTTCTTTACTAAATTTTAAAATTTAGGTTTTTCTTTATCATGGGCAAATTTATTTAAATAATACTTTTTTAAAAAATTTCTCAAAATAGGATTTTTTAAAAACATATTCCTTGTCTGGTGTGATTTTTGGCAGATCAGCATTTGTATCGCACATGCATGTTCGATAGAATTTTTTTATTAATTTTTTAATATACTATCGTTTATCACAATTCGATACTTGTTCATACATTGACACGTGGTGGAGAAAGAGCAAGTATCGGCCAAATCAAAGCGTTAAATGAGGGACGGTATGGATGATGACACGTGTTAACTAGACAATAGTATCGGCTAGTTAAAAACGATAACAATATCGTTGGTCAATCTCATTTGATAGTCCTGCTGCTGTTTGACCAACGATATTGCTATCGTTTTTGATTGGTCGATACTATTGTCTAGTTAACACATGTCATCATACATACCGTCCCTCATTTAACGCTTTAATTTGGCCAATACTTGCTCTTTCTCCACCACGTGTCAATGTATGAACAAGTATCGAATTGTGAGGAACGATAGTGTATTAAAAAATTAATAAAAAAATTCTATCGGACATGTATGTGCTATACAAGTGCTGATTTGGCCAAAAATCGCACTAGACAGGGAATATGTTTTTATAAAATCCTATTTTAAGAAATTATTTTAAAAATAGTATTATTTAAATAAATTTACCTTTATCATGATTCAAGTTGAAATGTAAAATTTTAATTTTAATTTATTGCTCATATTAATTAAAAATTTAGTTTTTCTTTCTTATTTTGACTATTTTTTTTTTAAATTTAGTGAAAGTGACAAAAAATAAAAAATTAATTTTTGAATTCAACTCTAATTAATATGAAAGAAAAATAAAAATTCAAGCTCCAATTTTAAATTTTTGTTAAAGTGAAAAAATGTAAATGTCAAATTTAAACATGAATTGATAAAAAAAACTAAAATTTGGTTTTGAATTTCAAATTTTAGTTAGAGTGAGAGACAAACTAAAACTTTTATTTTAAATTCAAATTTCAATATTAAGTAATAACATAGAAAATATGTCAATTTTAATATGTGGAGAAAAGAAAAGTAACAATGCACCAAAATATGTGTCACATTTTCTTTTTGCTGAACACTTTTTGAATACATTAAATTCAATTGTTTTGGTGATTAATTTTTAAATGAATTATTTAAGTAAATAAAATTTTCAATTGATCTAAGCAAGTTGTAGGACATTAGTAACTAGTAAGTTGTTTCTTTTAAGTACAATTTAACTAAGTAATTTTTTTATATACTATATGAATATTATTAAATTATTTTAGGCTAAATATTTAAAAACATGTTAGATAAATATTTTTAAAGTTAATAATTTTTATAAATTTAAAAGCAATAAGTATTATAGTTATTAATAATAAATATTTTTGTATTAAATAAAATGAAAATAAATTATAAATTAATATTGATTTTAAAATAAATATATGATGTAAAAAAAATTACTTTGCATGAAGAAAAAATAATTAATCCCTAAAAATTTAAATGATTTACATATGAAACGATTTTTTAAATACCTATTCTTGGAGAAAGGCATTGCAAGGTCCATTAGGGTTTAACCGATAGCCTCTGGCTTGCAAGGTGTCACTATTGACGAAACATTGGATCAAAGTAAAGTACATGATTTTCTTACTTAGAAAACTCCCTTAATAGATTAAAAGTGACAGAGAATATTGGGCTAGAGAAAAGACCAGTATAGGAGCAAGACCTGATGGATCGGAGTAAGAAAAAGGTAAAATTTGATGCTTAGATCGAGATAGAGGAGGTTCAAGAGAATATGCAAAAGAAAGGCTTTGATGATATTTACACCAAACAAGTGTCTTCTGACCTTAATCCTCATCTTTCATCTCACAAATATAAGGTGTTAGAGTCTAGGAATTTTAATATGCTTCTTGAGGATGATGACATAATAAAATTAGTTATGGAGGAGTTTAATATTCCCCCTAATTATAATGATCACTTAATAAGCCTTATGAATAATCAAGTTATATTTCCAGAACTTAGGGTTCTCTTAGAGGACTATGAGCAATGGTGTTCTTCTTGGAAATTAACCCTGATAGTTAAATTGTTAGAAAGAACAATTAATTTTACTAATTGAACAGAAAACTAGGGAGTATATGGGGAAGAATGGGTCTTTGAAGATTCACTGCAACAAAAATATTTTTTATCAACAATTTTTATAATTTTGAATGACAATATCAATAGCCATTAAAAATTTTACCAACCAAAAATTATTTGCTATTATATCCAATGTTGGTAAAAGTTTTATCGACCATTACAAAAAATGCTGGTAAAAACTTAATTTATTATTGTTAAAAACCTTAATTTATAATGACAAATATTAATGACAATTTAAATGGTCACAAAAATTTATTTTTTTATTCATTCACTAGCTTTTATTATTGTCGGTAAAAATTTAAAATTATTTTTATTAATAATTTATAGTCTTTTAACTATTAATAATTTAATTAGTAAAAAAAAATTGTGTGTCCAAATTTAAATTTTATTAGTAAAAATTTAATAATAAAAAATTATACTAAAAAATATGTTTAAAAGAATATATTATAACATTATTTCATATTATACATGACTCTCTCACGACCTCCTACACCCAAGAAAAAGAAAAAGATGTAGAGTAAATTTTCACAATAATAATAATTAATCTCATGATAAAAGTACAATTAAACTATGAAATTTCGTGTATGTTTCTTATTACCACAACTTAAAAAGGGGAAGAATCATAGATAAAAATAATAAAAACACACAGGAAATGAAGTACAATCACAAAGGACCATATTCTTACATTTAAAGTTCTATTCATATTCTATCATGTTCAAATTGAGTCACTTTCCAAAAATTAAAGGAGAAAAAAGCGAAAAAAGTAAAAGAGATTGCCCCAACTAACATTGAAGTTTAGTGTTAAAATGTTACAAACTATGCCTCTTATCATAGAACAAGTAGCATAAGAAAAATCTGAAATTACATAATGTAAGTCATCAAAGATATAAGCCAAAGCATTGATAGGCTAGTTAGTATTGACAAACTGTGCAAATTGTCAAGTTTTATATATAAATAAAATTAGAAGAAAAGAGAGCTTAACAAATGTGTAGCACTTAATAGCAAATGAGAACAACACCATAATAAAAGAATCACACTCTTTTACTAACCTTTAATTTGTGAATGTTTGGTTGCAAGAATCACCATGGACTATTTTTTTTATATAATAATATGAAAAATCCAAACCAAAAGTTGCATAGAGATTAAACATAACTGCTGCGGTCTTCCATTAATTATTATTTCATCAATTTATTTATATAGAACACGGTAACAACAATAATAATAAAAAATAACCACATAGAATTGTCTTGATTTTATTTCATCTATCTTATTTTAGCATCATGAAATAGTAGCATGTAATATATAATATGACATGTAATTAAAATACTTATCAAGCGGAACCATGACATGAAGCTTCTGAATCTCCACCTCTTTCACCACTTAACTTTCCAATAGTTACTACACATAACACAAATACCACAAAATATTGTAAATTAATAACAATAATTTTATATTTACAATAGGTAAACATATGAAAAACATAAAAATAACAAGAATGAACATTATATTAACACATAAAAATAAAAATATAATATCATGAGAAAGTGCACACTTTTCATTAGCACCATGTGAATAAAGTGCTTGTCGTACTTGTTTAGGGCCATTATAAACATTAGGAATCTAGAAAATATTATATTATGAGAAAATAAACTTGTGTTATAGTAACATCTTTTAAGAAAAAATAAAGTTTAAAACTTAATTTGAGAACCTTACATGTTTAAATGAGTTTCCACTACAATTTTGAGTTACAGATAATTCAGTAGTAAAAAATTTACTCATAACTTGTCTCATGAAAGACAACTCTAATAGTAACTTGTCTTGATTTTGTTTCATCAAATTCATTTCAGTATCATGTTTTTCATTTAGTTATTTTATCTCTTACTCTAACTTTTGGATAGTTTCATTAGATGTATTATCCATAACAATATTTTTTAAGGAAGATTTACTATCCCATAGCAAAGAAGGAGTTGGACCAAGTCTTAAACCACGAACATAGTCACTTCTTTCATTTCCCAACACTTGAGAATACACATCTCCTTCCCAAGTAACACTTTCAATAGTTTGTTGTTAGGTGGACAAGTGTACCCGTCGAGAAATAATAAAAAGTTCTTAAATTAAGTTCCCAAATTATCATCTCACAATGATTATTTTTCAATTACTAATAATTTTCTAATTCAATTGTTTGATCTTAAAGGATATGTGATTAAAATACGAATTTATAAAATCAATTATCAAATTAAGAATAAGGAATACAATGTACGTCTTGGTTAAACTTATCAGAGAAGAACCTAGGACATA